TGTCCATAGTCATAGCTAAGAACAAATGCTTCACATAATTTGCACTCTTCCCCTTCTCATTTGAGCAATTAAAAAAATCTGTTTAAGAAAAAGAAAGCATTAAATGTACTATTTATCAGTGAACATTCTTTTGAATATAGGAAGTGGTCTCTGTGTGGGGTAGCTATGCATTGAATAAGACAGTCATATAGGAAAATCGGTTTGCAGGCATTTAGCAACTCCAGCTTCTAGACGATGATAACTTAAACCTATTGACCAGTCATCTACCTAAGGAGGCCTGTTGCTGGTGAAAACTTGCCACTGTGAGTCTGGTATTTGTGCATCTGTTGAATTCAGATGCACTGGATGAGAACCACTGAGAACAGTTTAAAAAATCTTAGCTCATGGGTTTAGATTTTAAAATAAGACATGGCTTCTCATCTTGCTGTTGTTCATGAACTTGCAACCCTAGTGTTTGCAGGCTGGCTCCTGGGCCTTGAAACAGTCTTGGTGAAGCTCTGGCCTCCTTGACAGAGGAACTCCTTATTCCTTTGTGTTACTGCTAATCTTACAATGCCATTTTTCATGATTCTGCATTTATTTTGTATGCATCTGTTGGTCCTGCAAAGCTGAATTCTTCAAGAGAAAAAGGTTGTATTTTATTCATCTATAGCACACTGTCAGGCACAATGGGCTCTCAATAAGTGTTTGTTGAACTGGATCGAGTAAATGTCTCAACAGTTAGGTGGAGCAGTGGCTATAAATGAAATTGAGACAAATGATCATTATGGTCCTATTGCACAAGTGGTTTTATTATGCATTAAATTCCTGGGCCTTCTTGCACACCCTCGTTAACTGTGCCAGGTAGTCCATTAATGGACTCATGCCCAACCACCTTCCTGGCTCAGATGAGGACGGTGAATTCAGATTACCACATGGAAGAGACATGGAAGTAACTTAGGGAGACTATGTGGAACACAAAAAAAGTTAAAAATAAAGTAAGAAAGATAAAGAAAAAGTCATAAAGGAGAAACTAGGATCTAGGATAGAGGGTAAGTCAAACTAGGAGAGACCCAAGCAGATGGGTCCTTTTAGGTGGAAGATGGCCGCTGTCTGCCAGGAGAAGGCTTGTGACCCAGGGAGGAAAGAAAAGGGGCTTTCTGTGGACCTGGGCCATGAACAAAATCCTAGAGATGGATTGCAGAGCTCTCAGCCAGGTCCATGGGGAGGATTACTGTGACTGAATGTTTGCTCTAAGCTTCTGGATAGCTCAGAAGGGGAAGGTAAGCTATCATCATCTGATAGAAGGGAGCACACTAGCTCCTGAGGGAGAAAAAAACCAAATCCTTTCTCTCTGGAAAACCCAGACTAGTTCTGTGTATGGCTGTGCCTGGAAAGACTATGTGACTTCAGCTAATCATTCGACTGTCCCGTGCCTCCATTTCTTCAGCTGCATGAAAGGGTAGCATTCATGGATCTCTGATATCCCTTGGGATTCTAATAGTCTCTGCTCAGACAGAATCTAGAATCCCTCTGGATTGAGATTTGGACACTGGCTCCCAAGAACCGGGAAAGCCACCCCAGAGCATCAGTGGTAGACATGAGGTCTTTTCTCCCTGGCTTGCCAGCTCTCCAGTTTTAAGGCATTCGGGACCAACAAATGCCCATCACTGTGACTGTGCCGCCCAAGTGGGCACCAGAACTCCAGCCGTCAGCACCAAGGCTACGCTGGCCGCTTCCCCAGCTAGAGTTGTCTCCTGCAGTTTGCAGGCTGCAGCAGCTGCCCCAGCGTCCACAAACCCCACCGCCAATTCCCATGTAATCCCGGGGTGCCTGCTTTCAGTGCTGGAACCTTCTAGGCTTCAGGCTACCGCACAGAGGGAGCTGTGCTCTAATAAGGAGCAACTCCTCTCCTGAGCCCTACCCTAGGAAACAGTTGCAAGTGGCAGAGTTGCAGGGAGTGGCTAAATACGGAGGCTTTGGCCTCCCAGAGAACCCCTCACTTGACCAGATGGCTCTTCTGTGAAATGTATCTTGCAAATTGAGTTGAGGGGATGGGATGAGCATCTGTCCAGTGTTCTTTCATTTCCCCCAGCTTCCTGTTCTAACAAACTGCTGCCTGCCTTCCAGCACTCTCTCCCTTTGTTAGGAAAACTAGCACTGACCTATCTTTGATCTGATAAACTCATTCACACTGGGGTGTGAGGAATTCACACAGCTTTGGACCCTACCTTGAATAGTGTAGAGAATCTGCAGGAAAAGGAAATCTAGTGGCAACTGAAGGGCATTTCCATTTCCAGTGTTTAATGTTGCCAGTGTTTAATGAAAGGCAGTGTTTAATGAAAGGTCCCCCCCATCAGTCCCACACATCTACCTACCTACCTGTGCACATACACACAGAGACACATCCTGGGAAAACCAGTTGTATTGCTGGTGAAGATGTAGCCATCTGTACTCACTGGTTGCTCCAGGTGCGGTCAGAACTGATCTAAACAGGACATAGGTAAAGTTCCCTTTGCAGCCTCCTCTCTTGTCTGACCCCCAAGGCACCTGTTTTGTTGTTGTCATGGCTTTTGGTTTTGTTTGTTTTTGCAGTACTGGGGATTGAACCCAGGGTGCTTTACCACTGAGCTACATACCCCCAGCCACTTTTTAAATTTTTATTTTTAAGTCAAGGCAGGGTCTTACTAAGTTGTCCAGCCCAGACTCAAACTTGCCATCCTCCTATATTGGCCTCGTGAATAGATGGGATTACAGGCATGTGCCACCACACCCAGCTAGGCACCTGTTGAATTTGCCCCCTTGAAGGCTCTTGCGTGAAGTCAATTTAGTTCTCCTTCCCTTTTCCCATCAGGGCTTTATTCCCAACAGCATTTCCTAGGCTGATAAGCAAAGCAATATGGCTAGGCCCAACCACCTCCAAGTAGCAAATTTCTGCTTTAACAGGAATCTCTGGAAATGATGCCCTGTCCCAAGAGGAGTGGAACTTAAGAAATTCAGGTGACACTACAGAAATGTCCAGAGACAGTGAGTCAGAGATCACTCACATCACACTCTCAGGAACCAAGCCCCCATTGTGTTGGTGGACATGTTTTTATTAGCTGAAAGTCTGCAGTGACTCAGGGGTATCCCCGGGAAAGGAAGTTGCTAGAACAAAATTGATCAAAACGGAAGCCGGGAAGGAGTGGGAGGGGAGAGGAGAATTATTGGCAGGGAAGGAGGAGGCGAGGAGCAAAACAGAAAAAAGCAGGGGATGGAGATTGCTCACCGACTAAATCATTTTCTGTACCCAGCCAAGATCTACTCATCCACTGGAATTGAAATTTCATTCCAATGTGTTGTGGGAATTATCTGTGGCTCTCAGTTGCACTCTTTGATGTCAGCTGTTGCCAGAAAGTTTCAAGACCTTTAAATGAAAGAAGGATCAGAAGATCAGGAAGCAGGAGAGTGAGGAATACATCCTGAGCCAGGCTGCCTTCCCTGGAGCCCAGTGGTAGCTCCACCAGACAGGACAGAACTTTCACTGGTTAGCAAGAGGTCTGCTTTTGTGAGCTGACGATTGGGCATGAAAAATGTATTTTGTTTTGTTTTTCCTATAACTAAACTAGCAAGCAGGCTTTTTTTTTTTTGGTCATATTTGAAATGGCAGATTGTGAAAAGGGCTATTTGAATACCAATTTTTCTATCAAGGAAGTCGTACATCTAGGTGGGTGGCAATACATGCTCTCCTATGAGACTTTATTTCAAAGTTGATCACTTAGTAATGCAAGCGAGTCTCTGCAAATGTGGAGGACACACTGTTTTATGGTTTGGGTATGAGGTGCCCCCCGCCAAAAAGCTCTGGTGTTGATGGAGGAATATTCAGAGGGAAAATGATTAGATTATGGGAGCTCTAATCAGTCCATCCTAGTTGGAATGGACGAACTGGGTGATTAACTGTAGGCATGCGGGACTTGACTGGAGGAGATGGGTCATGGAGGTGTGCCCTGGCAGGGTTCATCTTCCCTGCCGCTTCATCTCTCTCCCTCACCCCACTCTCTCTACTCCTCAGCTGCCATGAGCTGAGCAGCTATCCTCCGCCATGGAATTCTACCTCATCTTGGACCCAAAGGAATAGAGTCACTTGATGATAGACTGAGATCTCTGAAACTGTGAGCCCCAAATATACTTTTCCTCATGTAAGTTGTTCTTGTCAGGTATTTCAGTTCCAGTGATGCAAAGCTGACTGATGCATAGTGGTATTACCTCTTTGTTTTTTCTGGTTGCTGCTATGAAAATTCACCAGAGAACTGACGCTCTATCAACTATTTCCATTAAGCCGGTTGCTTGTGTTAGTCCGCCTTCTGTCTCGGTGACAAAATGCCTGAAAAAAAAATCAACTTAATAAAAGAAAAGGTTTATTTTAGCTCATGGTTTCTGAGGTTTCAGTCCATGTCACTTGGCCCTGTTGCTTTGGGCCTGTGGCAGCACAATACGTCATGGTGTGAGCATATGGTAGAGGAGGATTGCTCATCTCTGGGCAGCTGGAAAGTGAAAGAAAAAGAGGAAGAGACCTGTATCCCAATATGCCCTTCAAGGACACGCCCCCAGTGACCTAACCTTTTTCCACTAGCCCCACCTCTTATTGAAGTTTCTACCACCTCCCAATAGCACCACAGGCTGGCAACGAAGCCTTTGATACATAGGTATGTGGGGAACACTTCCAAAACATACCAGTGCCTAAAGACTATCAGTGATCTTATTTTGAAGCTTCTACCATTGGTTTGGGGGAGAACTTTACAAAACTCAATTTCTGTCTGGGGAGTGGTGGTCTTGTTATCACTCTTTCTTTCTTTGCTCTCCTGCTCCTGATACTCCTACACAAGAGGTACTAAGGGAGTCTGGGGCATTTCTGCTCTGTGTTCCTCCAGTTCTGCTCTGCTCCTCCTTCATATACCTCATGACTGGGGTGGGGCCTCTTTCCAGGGTACAGAATATACATTCCCACTAACCACACCTTCCTACCTCTCTGCTCTTTTCAGAATGGGTTGAATGGCTTGCATCTTGCCTCCAAAGAAGGTCATGTGAAAATGGTGGTTGAACTTCTGCACAAAGAAATCATTCTAGAAACGACAACCAAGGTATGTCTCATGGGGAGTGGGGGCACTTGTCATCAAAAATTCAAATCTCTTGGCCCCTTAATATGGTCCCAAACTGCCTTAGAAACCAGCCCTTCTTGAAACAATCCTAAATGAACTTCTGAATTTGTCTTATCCTGAGCACTTTCCAGTTCTCTGAGTTCACCTGAAAACACAGGACCCTGTTTCCAGAAAGATTACTTTTTCTTATGGTGCTGGGAATCAGATTGAACCTAGATGCATGCTAAGCATGTGCTCTACCACTGAGCTACACCCTCAGCCCCCCAGATAAGTTTTGTTTCTTATATACAGGCATCTTGTTTATTAAGCAGGATGTAGACAGTATTTGAAAAAACAAAACTAAACAAAAAAAAAATCTCCTTTTACTGGCTCAAGTACCATCTGCTCAATTCCCCTTTCTCTTCTCTCCCTACTTTCTCATGTTTTATGCTGGAGTTTTCTCCCCAGCTCATTTCCCATTTGTTATTTATTAGATGGGCTCTCACACACAGCCTCAGTTTCTGCTCTGTGCAGCACACATTTTGCTGCCTCTCAAGCAGAGAACACAGAAGAACAATATGTAGAGAACAGATATAATTTATGGGTATGACGTGAACTACCAAAATATTATGAAAGTAGAATCAGATCTCAAGGTAAAATTCTGTAATTTTCATGTCATCTTCTCAATGTGAAAGGATCTCTCTGATAAAATAAACTGAGTTGCTCCTTCTGACTATATATGGGTATTTTTTTGGTAACCCCAGGACAAGTGGCAATTGTTTCCACCCTGCTCTAAGTATGAAGGGATGTAATTATTATTATTATTATTTATTTGTTTGTTTGTTTGATGCTCTCACATACCTGGCTGCAAGCAGTGTACCATCTGACCAGCTCTGTGTGGGCCGGGGCAGCCGCTCTTCCCTGGCATTTCCCCAAGAGCTGTGAAAACATTATGCTTCAGCACTTTTGCTCTTTCCAAATTCCCCCCTTTGATTGTTATTTTGCAATGAACACTTGGTGTGTCTCTTTTATTTATAGAAATTTTATGAGCCAGCATGGTTTTGGAATGCCATGCAGAGGGAGGAGGAAAAAAAAATGGTAAAACTCAAACCGTGGGCTAAGGAAGACTCGTAACAGATTGAGGAATTGTAATGGATCTCCCAAGCCTGAGAAAGATTAAAAAAAAAAAATAAGCAAGAAGCCAAAACCAATCTAGACTCCTAAGCTATGCTTAGAAATTCAAAAGCATAAAGCAAATGCACTGCTTTCCCACCCTCCCATCTCCACCCCTTAGAGGCCAGGGCTCAGCACCTTAGCTGTTAATGAACCGAGAAAGCTTTCATCTCCACGGACAAAAGCCTTTTCCCTCACTGTGCTTCTCTGTCTCCGTCCACTTGAATTCACTCAGTGCTGTTTCAACCATCCTCCCCTCTATGAGCTCTATGCGTCCCTGAAAATGGAGAAATTAGATATTTGTGGATCAAAATAGAGCTAAATAATTTTTCCTGTGCCTTCACGGTCATATTCTTTCATGCTGAGGGAGAATGTAGAGGATGGCAACCTCCTTCCTCCTGCCTCCCACAGCCCAGGGCCAGAGGCCTTCTTGAGTGTGTGTGTGTGCGTGTGTGCAGATGGGATGGAAGGGGTCCCATTTCCCAGGGACTTCCCTTTGGTGTGATTCCTTATCAACGCTGCCCTCCGCCCACACGACATGAGCCGAGGCCCACAGCCAGGTTCCACAGCTGACTAGCTTCTCTTCCTCAGGGGTAGGAAGAAAGTTCTGCTCTGCTCAGATTTCAGGCAGGAAAGAGCAGATGGAAAGAAACATTTGAGTCTGCCTCTTCAGGACAGAGAACCTGAGTCTCCATGAGTCACCTCTGTGTTTCCCCTTCCTGGCCCAGAGCCTGACACATGGGTTCTCAGTAATGAAGGGATACAACATCCATCCTCCTTCGCGGGAGGCAGGGAGGCTCCACTTGGAGCTCTGAGTCCTGGTTTCTAGAGAAGTTCCTGGTGCCAGCAGCCCTGTTTCATTTAGTACAGCAAATGAAAAGGACCCAAGTGCCAAAGCCTTTCATATAATCTCCTTGGACTTCTATGAAAAATTATTAATTAGCCTCTATACATTCGCTTCTGGCATTTATTCCCTGCTGGATCCTGGAGAAAGACTCCTTCTGCTTATCAAATAGGACTTTGGGAGGCAACAAACAAACAAACAAAATCTCCTGCCCGATGCAAACTTTGATACTTCAATGAAGATCAAGAAATGAAGATCTGAACTTCCAGCTCCCAGGTCCCCACAGGGCACCCACCTGGGGACACTTGGACAACAGTGGTGGTGTGGCTATGGAGCTGGGTCCTGAGCTGCTCAAGCCCACCTCAGGCAGGAAGCTTGGCCTGCAGGTGACAGGTGGCTGCAGTGCAAGGACTAGGTCTGAAGTCCTGGTTCTCATCAGTTCTTACTTTCAGAAATGGATTAGTACGTGATTATGGAGTTTAGTTTAAAAGCTATATGCAGTTGTCCCTCAGTATCCAGATTCCAGGACTCCCACAGACACCAAAAAATCTACGGAGGCTCCAGTCTCTGACATGGAATGGTATAGTATTTGCCCATACCCTAAGCACATCCTCACACAGACTTCACATCACCTCTGTAATACCTAATACAATGTGAATGCTAGGTAAGGAGTTGTTAGACTGTATTGTATAGGGAATCATGACAAGAAAAGTCTGCACATCTTCGGTACAAATGCATTTTTTTTCCTAATATTTTCAACCTAAGGTTGGTGGAATCTGTGGCTACAGAACTGGGGATACAAAGGGCCAGATGAACTATAAAAAAAATAGGTTGTTTATCATTTCTGCTACTTAAGTATCACAGAGACAGATGGGTCTGGCTGTAGTCCTGATTTCTCCACTTGACTTGACAGACATGCTGACTGGAGCCTGTCCCTCAGAATGTCCCTGAACAGGGGTGCAGAGCATGACATGCACAGGATCCCTTGGTGGAGACAGTGGTAGCTTTGGGGACCAGGACTCCTTGGAGTCAGGAGGAACCTGGCAGAAGGGTTGACCGGCCAGGGAACTTCAGCCTGCTAGACACAGATGGACACAGCTGGTCCTGCACTTCCTCTGTGAACCGTGGTTCAGTATCCAGGATAGCCACAGACCAGAAAACCTGAACGTTAAACTCACATCCTGGCAACCTGCCTCATTTCCTTCTGCTACTAGCTCTTATCTTTTAAGAGGTTTAAGACACTTGTGTGCCTCATTTTATCTTAGGGTTTTTTTCTCTTTGGCTTTCTCTCCTTTCTTGTTTGGTGAGAACTTTGTCATTATGTTTTACTTAATAATATTTTAAATATTCTCTTTGCATTTTTCTTTGCCAGATTTTATTCTACGAAGGCACCCCCCCATTTATTTTCATATTTTTCTTCTCTTCCCTACATACACTATAGAGTACATTTTACCTTTTCCTTTTTTTTTTTAATATTTTCTTACGTTCTTATCCTCTCATCACCTTTGTCCCTTCAGACCAGCCTTTGGTTTGTGGGTGTCCCTTTAACAACATTGAGGGTATCAAGCCAGGGCATCTGCTGCCTCCCCAGAGCTCCCAAACGTAGTGGAAGCACACCACACAGGCCAGTTTGCTTGCGGATCTCATGGTGTGTGTGCCAAGGGACACTGTCAGGCAGTGACAAGGCACTGTGCCTGTGTGCAGCAAGATTAGCTGTTGAGAAGTTACATTGTGTGTGCGTGTGTGTGTACTATCAGCAAAATTTTTTATTAAAAAAATGCAAGAAGAATTTTCCTCCTGGTGTCTACAATACTATTTTAAGATATATGTCAGGCCAAGCACACACATGTGCATTTTCTACCTCTTTTGACCCAAGAGAAGGCCACTAGACCTCAGCACTCGTGTTTAGCTGCCTATGATAGTCATTTATGCAAGTCCAGTGCAAACCCTCCTGTGTCCCTCCCTCCGTGCATTTCAGAAAGGAAACACAGCTCTGCACATCGCTGCCCTCGCGGGTCAGGATGAGGTGGTCCGGGAGCTGGTCAACTATGGCGCCAATGTCAATGCTCAGTCACAGGTAATGGCTCTCTCTGGTCCCAGATCACTCCTCTTTTCTGTTACACAGTGGACACATTAGCTATTGCATCAAGACATACACACACACACACACACACATACACACACTGTAGCCGAGCCTAGATTTATTAGCAACTTGTATCCAAGCAGGGATGAGTGCATTCTTTATTATTTTTTTCATGATTAGACTACATGTTCTAAGCATTGCAGGCCCATCTCTATACAGTAAACCAACTGATTAATAATATTTAGTCATGGTTCATTTAGGGAGAGAAACTGTGTGTGGAGAGGGAAGGGGATGAGGCTTGGGGATTAACAAGGAAAGGAGTAGAAATGGAAGGGGTATACGTGATCCAGTGGGGCAGACTGACAGTGGTGAGGGGCAAGACCCAAACTTCCTGGAGAGTCGTCCCCACCTGTAGCCTTTGGTAAAAATTCATTATACTGTTTCAAAGAGATAGTGAGTCTTCATAGATGGGGGTATCTCCCTGGAGGATGTGTGAAAGTGAGATGAAGAGAGAGCTGTCCTCTGTTTTCGAGAGTTTTCCGCCTGCGTCTGGCCTCTCTCCTCATTGCAGGTGAGTTCTAATGGCCTCTTCTTTTGGCTTGCAGAAAGGCTTTACACCCCTGTACATGGCAGCACAAGAAAACCATTTGGAAGTGGTGAAGTTTTTACTGGAAAATGGAGCTAATCAGAATGTAGCCACAGAAGTAAGTACTTTGGGAAAATGCCCTCATCACCAGAGTGCCCTGGGCGTGTGACAAGGGATCTTCCTGGGATGGGTCCTTACTGCATCTGAGATCTCAACTGACACAGAGCGTCACTGAGTGTTCCTGACCTTCACGTCACTTGCACCGATCCTGAGTGTCCTGAGGTTCTTCAAGGGAGTAAGAGACAAAGTCATGGGTCCTGAGCAATGAAAGAAATGACGTCAGACTTGAAGATGTCATCCTGCTGATATCCAACGCCGAGGGCTAGTGGGTGGGGCTGGCGTGTGAATGTCTGATGGACGAGTCTGCCTGCCCGAGAAAGGCTCTTGTCATGAACCCATGGTACACCCTTGAACAAGTCACTTTAGCTCTGATCCTGAGGCTAGTCGTTGCATTAACTGGAGCCGAGGCTGTTCTTGACTCTTGACTTAATGGCTTTGCCGTATCCTGCCTCAGCTTTTCCTGGGGTCCTGTTCTCCTCAGTATGCAGCCAAAGGAATCAATATTAGTAATTCACATCAAATGCTCAGGGCCTGCCTTGGTTTCTAGCATATGGTAGGTATTCAGTAATATTCTGCCATGTTCAAGGCACGATTCTGGCACTGATGGATGGGCTGAGAGGGAGGGTAGGTAAAAAATCAAAAACAGTAAAATGTCTCATAGCACACGGTGAGACTAGAAACGAATGGTAAAGGAAAATTAAGTAAATGCTTAAAAATGATTACCACAGGCCCTGTGAGGCTGCAGAGCAAGGAAGTGGTACAAGAAAATCTTCAGGGAGGAGATTGGTGGCATTTAAAAGCTAAGCTTGGAGGATAAAGAGAGCTTTGAAAAGCAGCACATCAGAGGAAGGTCATTTCAGGCTGGGACCCATCAGGAACAAAAGCCCTGAGGCAAGAGTATGTGTCCCATCTTGAGGACAGCAAGTGTCCAAGAGTCAGTGTTTTACTCAGCTTTTTTGTGGCTGTGACTAAAAGACCTGACAAGAACAATTAGAGGAGAGGAAGTTTGTTTGGGGCTCACACTTTCAGAGAGATCTCAGTCCACACATCGCCAGTTCCACTGCTCAGGGCCCAGATGAGGCAGAACACGATGGCAGAAAAGTGTGAAGGAGGAAAGCAGCTCAGGACGTGGCAATCAGGAAGCAGAGAGAGCTGTGTTCACGAGGGACAAAATATAAACCCCAAAGACACAATCCCAGTGACCCACCTCCTCCAGCCACACTCTACCTGCCTGTAGTTGCCACCCAGCTAACATAAGCTTTCCAAGGACATCACGTACCCCAACCATAACAGTCGGAGTAAACCCATCTTTCCTCTCCTCTGGCCAGGATGGCTTCACTCCTCTGGCCGTGGCTCTGCAGCAGGGCCATGAGAACGTGGTGGCACACCTCATCAACTACGGGACGAAAGGGAAAGTGCGCCTCCCGGCCCTGCACATCGCAGCCCGCAACGATGACACGCGCACAGCTGCCGTGCTTCTGCAGAATGACCCCAACCCAGATGTCCTTTCCAAGGTGAGGGTGGCCAGGAGGAGCACCCGGGGGACACCAGGCCACCACCAAGGAGGCCTGTGGGATAGAGTCACCACAAACACCCAACCATTTCCCCAAGAATGAGCCAGGCCCTGGACGGACCACCTGTCACCCTGGGCACCAGCTCCACGGTACCAGCAGGTTCCCAGGAACAACACGCACAGAAGCCAGTAGACAGCTCCGCTTAGGTGCCCCCCTGCCCCGTGAATACAGAGAAAATTGTTCTTAGCAAAGAGCAGGGAACGTCCAGGTGGGGTGGGACGAGTCCAGAGTGAAGCTGGGTCCAGGGGTGGCATTCTGGGCTTTTCTTCCTCTGTTTTCACCCCAGCTGCCCTCTGCTAGAGGGAGGAGGGGTCCCAGTCTTGGGGGGCTGGAGTGTAGAAAGAGGGGTTTCCCCAGGGGCCTCATTTGTTAGTCGGTCATCCACACTGTTGGATCCACTGTCTGGACATTCAGACTCTCGGTTTTCTTTCAGTGGGGGTAGGTTTGGGCTGAATTGTTCACATGGCCCCCTCACCCCACTCCACTCTGACCCATGGCCACTGGGTTTTGTCTCCAAAACAGCTGACAAAGGATAGATGTGTCTGAGGTGATAAGACAGGGTGGCAACAATGGACCCACCAAGGGGCCAGAGGTCTGCCTTTGGTCAAGCAAATGAGTCATCAGACTATTTTAGGAAGCTGAAACTATCCCTAGAATTAAGATCAGGGACTCCCATAACACTTACCATCCATGAATTAAAGTCTCCTCCTAAGTAATCTTTCCGATGAGTGGCCCTACAGAGTTTGAGACGATCCTAGTCTCTGGTTTGTCCATGGGCACAAAGCAGAGACTGGTCACTCAGGTGCCTGGTTTTTTAATACCACATGCTGCAGGATGTCCCTTGACCCATTCTGCGCCGATGCGACCATCCATCAAAACCTGCTTCGGGTATTAGGTCCTCTGGATCTGCCAACTTTTCCAGGATCCCCAGACTGATTCTTGGTTAGAGATGTCAGGTTTTCTCCCCTCTCTTGTGGAGACACATGACAGGTTTTCTCCCCCTCTGTTGTACCCCAGACGGGATTTACCCCCCTCCACATCGCAGCTCACTACGAGAACCTCAACGTGGCCCAGTTACTCCTCAACAGGGGAGCCAGTGTCAACTTCACGCCACAGGTAACCTGTCTTCTGCATGCTGTCTGCGAGTCTGGGGGATTCTAGAATCTAGGTGTCCCTGCCTCTTGCCCTGACACCACCACGGAATTCATCCATGCTGCAGAATTGCCTATGGGTGAAGCAGCAGTGTCTAACAAGACCCCTGACTGACAGGTTCCTAATCAGCCCGCCCTCATTTTCTGCCTGTTTTGTCTTGAGAAACTCTAAACCACATTTGGTCATTCTTAACATGGGAAACAGAGAGGCAGGGGCCAGTTTTCAAATAGTCAGCTTGCTTTCTGTCTGTTAAGGGTGACTCTGGGGGACGTGGCTTGGCCAACAACAGTGTAAATAGGTCCTCTCTGGTTTTAAAACCTTTCTTCAGTGAGAAATGCCCTAACAGTAGGTTTAAAGATGGCCACAGTGCTGTAGCAGTTGCAGGGCTCGGGGGCTGGGGAGCGGGGTACGCACAGCTACGTTTAAGAGGATGCCTATTCCTGACTGTCCCCTGCTTCTTCCCCTCCAGAACGGTATCACACCACTGCACATCGCCTCCCGCAGGGGGAACGTGATCATGGTGCGACTCCTGCTGGACCGGGGAGCCCAGATAGAAACAAGGACCAAGGTGGGTGCCAGCAACCTTCATGACCAGGTCAGGGGAGGGGGTTCTGCCCTCGAGAGTCTCACCTGGAGTGGTAAGCTCCTGGTGACCTCGTTAGTGACACACCACTCGCCTCCCGGAGCATCTTGCCATGTCTGCCGGGTGCAGCGGGAGAAGATCATAAGCCGAGTCAAACTGGCCCCAAAGGAAACATCAGCACTTCTGCAGCTGAGAACAATGCTGCAGGCAGTCTTCTCTCCAAATGGCCTCTGATGGGTGCCTTGTGGGCTTTCTGTTTTTCACTCTGTCTTTTAAAGGACGAATTGACACCTCTCCACTGTGCAGCTCGAAATGGGCACGTGCGAATCTCAGAGATCCTGTTGGACCATGGGGCACCCATCCAAGCCAAAACCAAGGTGTGTACCTCCTTCCTGTGGGGGGAATCTTCCAGGCAGGGATCCAGATCAGACAGACCTGGGTATCAAATCCCATTTCTGTAAAAGAGAGATGTCAATACAACTGAATGCAATAGTGTGTGTGACATTTATTGCAACACCTGTCACATAGGAAGTTCTAATTATTCTGGATCAAGGACTGAAAACATTTTATCTAAAGGACCAGGTAGTAAATATTTAGGCTTTACAGACCACAGTCTCTGTTGCAATGATTAAACTGCCAATGGAATGAAAATGTAAACATGGGCAAACTAGTGGCCATGTTCCAACAAAACTTTGTTTACAAAGCTAGGTAAATCTGCAGGCCAGATCTGGCCCACAAACTCTAAACCAATCCCTATCTCTTTGATCCTAGCTCCAGAAGCAATAGAAGCTAAGACTTTTAGAAGTCTTCAGAGCCTAGGGCAAATGGGAGTGAAGTTTTAAAAAGAAAATGAAACTGTCCTTCTCAAGCTCCATTAGAGGCCAGAGCAAAGGGCCATCTCTAGTTTCTAATGTGAGGACTTGAGTCCTCCAGGAGGGAAGTTCTGCCTCTACCTGCTCCAGGCCTTCTGCCCTGTTCCTTGGGGTCAGAGTAGAAAACCAGGCCCCTACTCAACCACTGAAGTGCATTTGTCAGGAGCCAGGAACAGAAGGATCCAGATCCAGTTCTACTTTGTCACTTTATTCACTGAAAACCACATTAATCAAGGACCACTAAGTATGAGACACACATTTATTTGGCACTGTGAGGCATTTAAGAAACATGAGCGCTGGGTGCCCTGGTGCAGCCTGTCGTTGGTTGAGGCAGGAGGATTGCAAGTTTAAGGCCAACCTGAGCAACTTGGTGAGACCCTCTCAAAATAAAATTTAGAATAAGGCTGGGAATATAGCTCAGTGGTAGAATGCTTGCCTAGCACGTGCAAGGCCCTGAATTCCATCCCAGTGTGTGTAAAAAGGGAAGGAGGGAGGAAGAGAAGCATTAGGCAGAGCCACTGATCTTCAGATGCTTGTAAGGAGAAGTAACACACACATCTGAAAAGTTAACCATGATTTGACAAATACGAGAATAAGGTCTAAGTGAATGGCACAGATCAGGAAAACTCACAGGAGTCCAGGGTGGTCAGGGAAGGGTTTGTGGAAAAGGTGGGCCTAACTGGTAATGGCTTGGAGTATTTGGGTGGAAAGGAGAACGTAGCTGGAGGCCAGCAGGAGCAGGAAGGCCTGATTGAACCAAGCTCCCTCAGGACTCACTTCAAAGCATCATATAGGCCAGAAAAGGGAAGTGACGTTGGTATCATTGTCCCGAATTTCCGTGTTCCATTCCCAGAAAGCCTCGCAATTGTCTGTGTTGTTTTCTTTACCCAGAATGGCTTGTCCCCAATTCACATGGCGGCTCAGGGAGACCACCTCGACTGTGTCCGACTTCTATTGCAATACAATGCGGAGATAGACGACATCACCCTGGACCACCTGACCCCACTCCATGTCGCAGCCCACTGTGGCCATCACAGGGTGGCCAAGGTCCTTTTGGATAAAGGAGCCAAACCAAACTCCAGAGCCCTGGTGAGTGCGCAGCTATTGAAGAAGGTGCTGGAGGGGACAAGGACAGAGGGAGGTAGAACCAGAGCCTGACCTGGGCAGGACCAGAGCCGGTGCCTTGAGAAGACCCTAAGATTCAGGGTCTGTGCAGTGTGGGTGGCTGCTAAAGCCTGGGAGACAAGTGCACTTGGTGTGTGCTCATCCTTCCCTCCTGCACTCGGTTAGCACAGCCCCTGTAGCGGGCTGTGGTCCAGGGTGGGTTTGTGTCCAGGAGTCCTGACTCCAGAAGCAGCGATCATGGTGTGCACATGGGTTGAAGAACCATTTCAGCTCCAACCAAGCCCAGGCTGAAGGACAATGAAGTCTCAGAGACTGCCGGGCTTTCCCAGCAATGGCAGCAGTGGCCTGAGCTAAGTAATCTTCTTCTGCAGAGGAGCTTAACATGACACTGCTACAGGTGTGAGTTTAGGCTTAAAGCAGATTCCTCCTGTGGCCATGGTTTATCTCTCTCCTCCCTAGGTCAAGGGTTCCCAGGCTGGTCCAGGAAACTAGTGGGGCTATAACCCATTATCTCCTTCTCCCCCCTTTCCATTCCCAGAGGAGGAGAACTGAGTGGGGCCAGGCATCTTTCAAGGGCAGCAGAGGATGGCTCATTCATTCATTTGAAAATGCTTTCATTAAGCATTGACCTCAGCCATGCACTAGGGAACTGGAGGCTTCTCAACCTTGGACTGTTGACATTTGGAGTTGATGAATGTGGTTCTGTGCATTGTAGGATGATCAGCATCATCCCTGGCCTCGACCCATTAGTAGCAACAGCTCTCCTCCCCTATTTATGACAATCAAAAGCGTCTCCAGAGCTGGGTGTGGTGGCGCACTGTAATCCCAGTGGCTCAGGAGGCTGAGGCAGGAGGATCGGGAGTTCAAAGCCAGCCTCAGCAAAAGCAAGACGCTAAGCAACTCAGTGAGACCCTGTCTCTAAATAAAATACAAAAATAGGGCTGAGGATGTTGCTCAGTGGTTGAGTGCCCCTGAGTTCAATCCCCAGTACCAAAAAAAAAAAAAAAAAAAGTGTCTCCGGACATGGCCACGTGTAGAGAAAGAGTGAAAACCCCTCTCCTCTTCCCACCCCTTCCCCTAGTTTGAGAACCACTGCCCTAAGGGGATAAACCATTAAAAGGACAGGCAGACAAAAATGAAAATCCCTGCCCTGTGGAACTTGCTTTCCAGTGTATCAATCACACTTAAAAACAAAAATCCATTTCTCTCTTACTGATCCATGGTTTCAGGGCAGAAGGAACATGATTTGCTTCCCCCAAAGTACTCTTTATCATCAGTTTACCCTTAAGGGGACGTTATACAAGGCTCTTTTAGTGCATCCAGAAATACAATGGAATTTTTTTAAAGGTTTCTAAACAACACGTTTAGGAACATGTTTGATGCATAAACTGAGGGCCTTGTTATCTCTTTCACGATTCACACTAAGATTAATCAATTCATGTGCTTTTATTCATTGTTCTGTGGGCACCCACTGGTGGGCTGGGGTGGGTGTGCAGTCCTGCATGTGCTCCTTGGCTAGTGTGTAAGCTCCTGATGTCTGTCTCCCTTTGTGTGGGGCTGCAGAATGGCTTTACCCCCTTACACATCGCCTGCAAGAAGAACCACATCCGTGTTATGGAGCTGCTGCTGAAGACAGGAGCCTCCATTGATGCGGTCACCGAGGTAGGAGAGAGCCTGCAGATGGGCCCTGGTTCTGCCCTGATCTTCCTCCACTAGCCCTCTCTGGGAGTTGATTGTTCTTTGTGGCTGTGGCTGCAGGGTTGTGTGTGTGTGTGTGTGTGTGTGTGTGTGTGTGCAAGACTGTTCAAAGGAATGAACCAGGGGTGACTGAGATGAGCGGGCTTGTGTTAAGTCTCAGGGAGTTTTCCAAGATCTGAAGCAATATTTCAAGCTATAAAAGTGGGCAGAACTCTCCCTCCGGTGATTTTGTTCCTCTGGCCATTGTCCTGAAAGTAAACCCACCTCATTTAACTCCCTCTTCTTGGAAAACCGTTCATGGAGGACCTAGCTGTAAGAACACATTAGATGCCATCTGGTTCTCTCTTCTTTGTGGGGAAGATAACCACTCAGCTCTCTCCACTCTTGTCTGTCCTAGTCTGGCCTGACGCCTCTCCACGTGGCTTCCTTCATGGGGCACCTTCCCATAGTGAAGAACCTCCTGCAGCGGGGGGCATCACCCAATGTCTCCAACGTGGTAAGACCTTGGCCACAGCAAGATTCGTTGCTCTAGGTGGAGGGCTCTGAGGGGAACTTTGTGTGCACTACTGAAGTCTCTGCTCTGGGCCTGGAGGTGGAATTCTCAGGGTAGCGAAGGCTTCAGATATGGGAGAGCCTTCCTGCCTATTGATGCTCTCTCAATTAAATTTGCCCCATATCTGTGAATCTACAGGATTTTATTTTGGATAATATTTTGGAACTTCGGTGTAGTCTGGAAATCATTCATATTTTTAAATATTCATTAGCTCTGGGGTTTATTTTTAAGAAGACCTAGAGTGCACGTGCACCCACATGCACACGCGCGCATGCACACACACACAAACACACACACACTCATACACCAACAGGCCAAAGAGTCTTTTGCTGGGGCAACTCCACCTCTTGGATAACACCCCATCAAGCTACACCAGACTGGCACTTGGGAGCTCTGTATGTGTCCTTTTGCAAACTCAGCATGTATTAGCAGTTCTATAATTTTGTTATTTTACAGAAAGTAGAAACTCCACTGCACATGGCAGCCAGAGCAGGGCACACAGAAGTGGCCAAATACCTGCTCCAGAATAAAGCCAAAGTCAACGCTAAGGCCAAGGTGAGTTCCAGAGGCGGGAAGGGAAGGATCCTGGGGTGGAGGCAGCTCAAGCACAATAAGGAGAATCCATCCTCATTAGAGGCCGGGCAGCAGTGTTTTTGGCTCAGTGATCACTTGTCATTCCCATTTAGGTCACACGAAAAGCTCTGATTCTGCTTTGCAGGGCTTTTGAGAAGGCCAGAGATATTTTTGTGTGTTAAAGCTGTTACTCTAGAATAATGAAAGTCTGAGGAATGTGGCTGGCCAGCAGTGTTTATTGGGCTAGTGGTTAGTCATGGTTTAAAGAGGAAAGCAGCTTTTTCAACATAGTGCCATCAGTGAAAATCAGCCAAGAATCACGAGATGTAAAAGTGGAGGATTTCCAGAGCACATGGATGCACACCTGTAATCCCAACAGCTCTGCAGGCTGAGGCAGGAGGATCTCAAGTTCAAAGTCAGCCTGGGCAACTTAGTGAGGCCCTGACTCAAAATAAAAACTAAAAAGGACTGGGGATGTAGCTCAGTGATAGAGCACCCCTGGATTCAATCCCCAATACCACAAAAAATACGTATATCAAATTCACTAATTAAAAAACAAAAGTGGAGAATTTCCCCTTGTTGTGTGCACATTTTTGAAATGTTGGGTGAGTGACCAATAAGGATAGCTGCTGATTCTGCAAGGCGATGGGCAAAGATCATGCTTTCCTACCCATAGATGGTTGAAGATGCCCCTTAGCGTTAGGACCTGAGATTTGTGTCTGGGCTGTAACTTGGCATGAGCCCAGTGACAGAGAGACCTTGTCTGTGGAGCCCTGCACCATAGCCATAAACAGGAAGTTGGGCAGGGGTGGGACAAGATGATGTCCTTCCCTTTCAGCAACTTAACTCTCCCATGACCCCTGGTGTAGAGAAACTGAAAGTAAAGTTCAAACAGAAAGATGAGCATATCCACTGGGAAAGGTCTGGGGAGATGGTAATAACAAGTTTATTGAGTGTTTATTATGTACCCAACACTACATGAGGCCCTTTCTGTACATTATCCATCAATATCATCATTCTCATTTTACAGATGGGAGGGTTGAGCCTTTGGACAATTAAGTGGAAATAACAACTTACTTGAAGAGTTATAAAGTTAAATAAGAGAGAACACATCAGTTTCTATAACTCAAAGGCTTGACTCAAATTCCAGCTCTTTGTCCGCTTCGCTGTGTCCCTGAGAAAATCATCTAACCTTCCGGGGCCTTACCTTTCTTGTTTGTAAAATGAAGTGTTGGGTTTGATAACGTTAACATTTCCCAATCTTTGTTTTTCCCTTTGGGGTTCAGGATGACCAGACCCCACTTCACTGTGCAGCTCGCATCGGCCACACAAACATGGTGAAGCTCCTCTTAGAAAACAATGCCAATCCCAACCTGGCTACTACTGCCGGGCACACGCCCCTGCACACTGCGGCCCGAGAGGGCCATGTGGATACAGCCCTGGCCCTTCTGGAAAAGGAGGCGTCCCAGACCTGCATGACCAAGGTACAGCCCTTCTTCTCTTGTTCTTAAAAAGTGGCAGGCACCTGCAGTCACAAACCCTAGGAAAGCTAGGGCAGGAGGATCATTGGTGCCCAGTTCAAGTTCAAGGCCAGCCTGGGCAAGAACTTGTCACACACACAAAAAAAAGAAAAGAAAGAAAAAGAAAAGAAAAGCCATAAATTACAGACTGGGGCTCCAAGGGGGATTCCTGCCTGATGGCCTTTGAAGTTTTAATGACAATGCAGGCAGCTGGAAGGGTGGACAGCCATAGGACTGGCCACCGTCTGTGAGCCTGGTGTGTTGATGTACTTTCCCAGAAAGGGCAGCGAGCCATTCTCTCTTTCATTCACCATTCATCCATTTATCACAGACCAGTTATTTCTCAGGCACCTGCTCTAACCCATGACAGGGAGATTTTGGAGATTCAAGAAGGAATAAGGGGCTTGGGATATAGCTCAGTTGGTAGAGTACTGGCTTACCTAGCACTCACAAGGCCCTGGGTTGAATCCCCAGCACCACCAAAAAAAAAAAAAAAGAAAAAAAAGAAAAAGAAAAAGAAGAAGAAGAAGAAGGAATAAGTCCCTTTCTTCTCCCAGGGCGTGAGCATCTAATGCCAATACCAGGCCTGGGAGGAGTGCAGAGGGGCCTGGTGGAGGAAGCTTGGGTTCCTGAGGTCTTGGCATCTCAAAGGGATCAAAACTTGGGGTGCCGGGAAGCCTCCATTGCCGTGGGCCCTTTCTCCCAGAAGGATGGCTCTGGCTTCCTGTGGTCCTGACAGTCTGTGTTTCTCCTCAGAAAGGATTTACCCCTCTCCACGTGGCGGCTAAGTACGGGAAAGTCAGGGTGGCAGAGCTGCTGCTGGAACGAGAGGCACACCCCAACGCTGCCGGGAAGGTGAGTTTATCCGTCTCCTTCTGGGGTCAAAGGAAAAAAAAAAACAGGACAAACTTCACTACTTGTGGATTCCACCTCTTACCTGTTTTGCCCACCCTTTGGGCAGCCATCTAGGGAGAATGGCACTTGGCCCTGGGTCCTGCTGGGTATGTCCCCTAGTGACTCCTAGCCAAGATTGGCTGGGAACACGTTTATTTATTTTTTTAACAGTAACTTTATTTTCTTAATTAATTAATTTTGTGGTGGGATACTAGGAATAGAACTCGGAGGCACTCACCACTGAGCCCCATCCCCAGCCCTATTTTGTATTTTACTTAGAGAGAGGGTCTCACTGAGTTGCTTAGCACCTCACCATTGCTGAGGCTGGCTTGGAACTTGCGATCCTCCTGCCTCAGCCTCCTGAGCCACTGGGATTATAGGTGTGTGCCACTGCACCCAGCTATTTTTAAAATGTATTTCGCAGTGCTGGGGATCAAACCCAGGGCCTCAGGTATGCTGGACAGATCCTCCACCACCGAGCTACACCCACAGACCATCCTTCAATAAAATTTTAACCAGATTATTACAGACTTTATAAATTTTTAAGCAGATTTCACCTGTTTAAAATAAGTGCTGTGAATCTCATAAAGGGCTCCCAAGTGGAAAACCCACTGGAGTGAAGCTGTTCTCATTTCTCTGTTTTGTCCCTTTGCAGAATGGCTTGACTCCCCTACATGTGGCCGTTCATCACAATAACCTGGAGATCGTCAAGCTACTGCTGCCCCGGGGTGGCTCCCCACACAGTCCCGCCTGGGTAAGAGGCCTCCCTGGGCAGATCAGGAGTGCCCAGCCGTGGGCGCCGAGTCTACAGCCCACAGAGGGTTGTTTGGAAAGCAGCCCAAGGGGTCTGGTGTTTTGCTTTTATTTTTTTTTACCTCAGACACCTCACCCCACTTTCACATATGTCACCTGCAATATAATTGCCACTATTTGGAGACCAGGAATGAGGTGGGAAGCAGCGACACTCCTCCGCAACAGGCTCCCTGGCAGAGACGGAATTTGCTTTACACACCAAATGTATGCCCCGAGCAGCCGCCTGCCAGCTGAATTTTGTAAACTGACTATCAAAGATCAGCTTGGATAAGGATCTCTGGGGAGCCATAAGCCTTGTTCTCAGAGATCCCTACTCAGTGGGACCGTGGGATGGCCCAGGAGTCCCATTTCCCACCTGCTCTCCAGGTGCTCTGATGCTGGGGCAAGATGCTGACACTGGGAGAAACAGCCAAAGCTGCTGGGGAGCACTTTCTGGAACCTTGAAGGAAGAAACCTTTTCTGAGTGAATGATCACCCCAAAATTTATTTCTCTCATGAGTTCAGACATTTAGATTGTGGCTTTCTTTTCAGTAGGATATATATGATGTGGAATATATATAGATATATTGTATTATATGAGACATTAGACATACGTTCAGCAAGCCAGCCTCTGAAAGTAGCTGCTACTGCTGTTGGGAGCAGTCCTGTCCTTGACCCTCAGGGAAGCAGAGTCAAAGGAACTTTGTAGGGCTAGCCTGGGGGAGGGGGTAACACAAGGACAAAGCCACAGCAAGGAAGGAGCATTTTGCAGGGATGCCCCCCACCCTGTGGAAAGGTGAGGGCTGTGTGGGGTCTGTGTCTGTGAGGGCCAGGACTCTGAGGGCTGGTGGCAGGGAAAGGAGAGGGACAGGACTAGGCATACAAGAGACACATGCAGTCTCTGTGCCCAGAAGTTCGGAATCTGACAGGGCAGCCCAAAGCATGAGAGACACCATCAGATGACAATTTCTGGCAGAGCTGTCATGTGGAGGGAGTGTCAGAGCTGCCTGGGAGGGAGCCACAGGATGGTCCCTGTGTGATTCCAGCTGACACCTGCAGACTTGGGAGCCGCAGTGGCCCAGGCAGGAGAAAAATCAGTGCAAGGCTTCAGTTGTTTTCCCCTGCTCAGCACGGATGCTTATCTCAACCTTACAGCATCCCTTTCCTGCAGACACAGCATCTCCCAGATGCCCCTGTCTCCTCAGGCTTCTGTCCCTGCTATTGTCATAGTGAACCTCACGTTACTGTGCAGAGGGAGCTCGGGGCCCTGCTGAGATGTCGACTTACTCCTGCTTCTAAAAATAAAAAGCTGGACTCCCCTCCTCCTCCTCCTCCTCACTCTCCTACTTATATAAAAGGAACTGGAGCCAGGTTCATGATATTTAAAGAGAGCTAAATGCAAGTGCAAACGCTGTACAGATGGGTTTTGTTTCCATGGCAAAAAATAGTTTCCAAAGTAGTCTGGCAATTTTGTAGAATTTCACATGCAAATCCCTCTGCACCCAAACCAAACTCTCCCCTTCCTAATTTGATGCTAATGTTGCAACATTCAGGCAGAGCCCTCTCACGCATTCAGTCCTCCAGATGAGCTCATTTCCTTAGGAAAGAAGAGTCTTTGCCTGGCACACATCCCTCCCTAACTGCTCCCCGACTCGCTAGCCCAATTGCCTCTTGTCCTTGTCACCTGTAGAAGGTCATCATTACCTGGTTTGTCATCATTAGTCCTGATTTGCAGGAAGTTCCAGTGGAATAGCCCATGTTCAGAAATCGTCAGTGGCTCTTGTATCATCTCTGTTTTAACCCAAGGTGACCTAGCAGCCTTAGACATCTCCAGAGCAAGCTCTCCTTTGGCCAGGAGAGGGCGCTGTTGCCAACAGGGACACCCACAGTTGCCCAAGTGGTCTGGAACTCCTGGTGATGTGTCCATGAACGTACTTCACATTGTGTCAGTGACTTTCCTTTGTACTTTAAAAGAATTCCTAATAATCCTTACTTTCTTATAGCAAATGCCTTCTCTGGGCCAGCACTGGCAGAGGGTGCATCTCATCTGATGGTGTCTGCCCTGCTGGGGAGGAAACATTCTACAGTGGTCTCAGAGAAGATGATCTGTATTTGAAAATGGCTCCATGTCTCAGAATTGACCCCTGAGCCACATTTCTTTTTTGCTCTCTTTTGATACAGAACCCAAAAAAAAATCATTCTGCTTAATTAATCTTATTACAATCAAAATGCTGATCTTGTTTTATGAACACAACCCCCAAAGAACAATATCATGTTTTCTCATAATGGAATCCAATTAAAAAAGGAGAAATACTAGAAAGAATTATCTTACATAATTTTGCCAAGAGAATGATTTTTAATTCAATTTAATTTTGGGAAGTAAATTACAAATTTTTAATTTCCCCAATGAAAGCCACTTTACAGACCAACCTAGCTATCCTATTCCAGGTCCCCAGTACTATATGACTGGCATTTTACTCTGTTGGTCAGCCCCTTCTATTCCCTTCCCTTTTCCTCACCAGTGATCCTGAAAGAGTGAAAAATGTTGGTTGCCACAAGAAAACAGTGGCTGGCAGAGGGGAATGCAGTCCTCAAGAACAGCTAGGGGAGGCCGGCCAAGGTGGGAAAAAGCTCCTTGAAACAATAGCACATTGATACCCACCTCCTCTGGGAAAGGAAGTCCTTGGGCCTAGCATCCCTCTTTGCCATGCGTGCTTGAGAGTCTGGCTACTGAAGTGTGGACCCTGGACCAGCAACATCAACATCATCTGGGAGCATTATTACCTTCCCACACCTTCTTAATTACAATCTACATTTGAACAAGGTCTCAAGTGATGCATATCTGAGTTCAAGTCTGTCATTTTATTATTTGGCATTAGATAAAGCACTCACCCCTCAGGGGATTGGCATCTTTATCCACAATATAGGATAGCAATAAAAATATCTGCATTTAGTACCTTGATTGGGGTGGGTGAAGCTCAAAAGAGATAATGGAGGTAAAAGTGTTTTCTAAAAACGATGCCCAGGAGCCAATCTATAGACTGTCAAGGATCCGCAGTTGGATAAGAGGTGTGCTCCAGATGTAAACCCATGCACTGCTTCCTTCATGGAGAAAGTTTCGTTTAAAAAAAAAAATAGCAGAATGAATAGAAGACAATGGCATAATTGACTTACTCGCCCAAACTCCTTTGTCTCGCCTTGTACTTACAATGCCTTATGAATCAATGCATCACAAATCCACATTAGTTTTATTTCCTTTTGTATCTTTATTTTGGAAAGATTCTTTCTGTACATTATCATATTTGATCTACCCAACAACTTTGAGAAATGAAAAAGGTAATTGCTCTAACCCTCTTTTAATGGCTTAAAAGAAATACAATAGGAAGTCCAGGAGGTAGAATACTTGCCCGGGTCACGAACGAAGACTGGCGCCCATTGCCTGGTGCGTGTCCCCTTCCATCACCTGCCTGATGCCAGCAGGCCCAAAAGGCAGCACTTGCCCCGACTGTGCAGGGACAGGAGAAAGGCTGCTGTTTCTTTCTTTTATGAAATGTTGGGGTTTGGGGTTATTCTGGTTTTCTTGGCCACCTAGCCTTCTAGTTGTTCTGTAGCCCACCTAATTGAATCCCAGCTTTGTTCCTTGACAGAGCATTTCCTGCCCAGCAGTTTATCTATCTGAGCAGAATAACACAAAATAGATGGTGAAAAAAAGGGACAGACGTTTCCTGGCTATGGGAGCCTGGAGAGCCATCTCCAAATCAAATAGCCAACTCTGCATTCCTGTCACCAAGCTCTGGGTGGCTTCCTCTCTTTCAGAATGGCTACACCCCTTTGCACATCGCTGCCAAGCAGAACCAGATGGAGGTGGCCCGAAGTCTGTTGCAGTATGGGGGGTCTGCAAATGCAGAGTCGGTGCAAGGTGTGACTCCCCTTCACCTGGCCGCCCAAGAAGGTCACGCAGAGATGGTGGCTCTGCTCTTCTCGAAACAAGCCAATGGCAACCTGGGGAACAAGGTGGGTGTGGCCCCCTGGGATTTGCCCTGTAGAGTCCTGATAGTATGTGTTGCTGTCAGCTCAGCAGATACAAATCTACATGTGGAGCACCTAGCCCGGGCTCAGCTTCTGAGTCAGGTGGTGTGTGTGTGTGTGTATGTGTGTGTGTGTGTGTGTGTGTGTGTGTGTGTGTGAGGTCCCTACAACAAACAGCCCTGTGTAAATTTTGTCTCGGTTTGTGAATGAATCAATAGAGTCAGAAAGATTGCTTGTTCTCCAGGTTGCAGGTCACTGAACAAAAGCTTTGCCTTTTCTCCCACCATGCTGTCTTTCTCAACAGATTCACGATGTGCAAGAAGTTCAAAGTGAAAATCCAGAGTATACTTTCCTGAATTTAGGCCAGTGTGTAACTTCAGGAGTCTATTCAGTAATTTGGTATTAAATATCCACTTTCTGTGGAGGAAGATTTTTTTTAAAATACTGATCTATACATTAGACTAGTCATTCTTAATTTAGGAGTACAGGTATATGAGCATGATATCTACTAAAATTGTATACAGCACTTTGGGTTTATGGGCACATGAGTGCTTTCTGGCTGAGGTGTTCCTAGGTTCCCTCAGCTTCTCAAAGGAATTCATGACCCAAAAGAGACTAAAGAATCAGTTCTCTTTTAAATAACTGATTTATTGAAACATAATTTATATAAAATTTATCCTGTCACCTGTACAATTCAGTGGATTTTAGTACATTTAAAGAATTGGAAAACTATCATTACCTAACTTAGGACATTTTCATCACCCGAAAAGGAAATTCCATCTCTGTGAACAACCACTTCTGATTCCCCACAGAACCCCTGTCGCTGACCACCACCTACTTGTCTCTGAATTTTCCTATTCTGGAAATTGCATTTAAATGGAATCAAACAATATGAAGAGCCAGTTCTTTAGATGATAAATTAACACAACAGTTTCAGAAAGGCAAGCATTTTAAGGATGATTTCAGATTTCCTAAACCTCTGATCCGATGGTTCTTTTCCTATAGGTTTGGATAGGTGACCTCCAACAAGGGAACTGTTGTAGTCATGGCATTCTGGGTGTCTTCCTTGTCCCATGTAAAGTGAGCTACATACGAAGACAATAATGGAGGCAGTGTGTTTTTGTTCAGGAAACACTCTCACCCCTGCCACCCTCCCAAGGCAGATTCCTGGTGTTACCCCGAGAACGGAGCCAGTCACCTGCCCGAGGGGCTAGCAGTTGACACAGTGACATTGGCACAGGCACCTGCAGCCAAGGAGGGCCACTGTTCATTGGCTTCTGGTCAGTCTTAGGGAATGCAGAAGGCAGAGGAGGGCAGGTGGAGTCACTCATGGGGCCACAGCCTGTGACTTCAGAGGACTCAGCTGTTGGTCCCACTGTTAGCAGAGTGTATTGAGGTAAGGTGCAAGGAGGAGAAGACTTCTGACATTTTTGTACAACAAGAGCTCTGATTCATTACTACCCTCCGGAGAAAGCTGGGATGAAAAGTCCATGAGCGTGGTCTTTTCACTCCCAGCTCTTTACAGATCCTCCCTGCTCTTTACAGTGCTGCGCTGGCTGTGATCCCATAATAGTACGCTATATTTAAAGAGCACGTTGTGCTTTTCAAAGTGATTTTACATGAACTGTGCTTTCTCAAATGCTCCTTGCGTTCCCTCTAGATAGGTCAGTGATAGAATCCCTATTTTCTAAATTAGGAAACCAAGGCTCTGAAAATTTGCCATGGAAATAGAAAGTGTTGCCATTGGAAGGTACTCTAAAGTTCGTTTATGACCTGTGAGCCAAATCCAGCCCACCACTTGTTGTAAATAAAGCTTTATTGGAACACAGCCATGCCCATTCACTTCTGTGTTGGTGTAGAGCCGCTTTGTTACCATAAGGGACAAAGTTGGGTACTTGCTACAAAGTCACCGATTTAAAAGATTGACAGTCTTACCCTGAACAGAAAAAAGAATGGCACTTCCCGATTTCATTTAACCATCTCATTTTTTAAGGTAGGGATATTGAGGCTCAGAACAGGAAGAGTTTTGCTAAACAGATGGTCAGAGAGCAGGCTAGGGCTGCAAACCAGGCTTCCAGACTCAGTGCTCTGTCACAGTAGCCTGGAATTGTCTCCTGCCTCAAAGCTGATGAACATCTTTCTCTTTCCAGAGTGGACTCACTCCTCTCCATCTGGTAGCACAAGAAGGCCACGTTCCAGTGGCAGATGTGCTCATCAAACACGGTGTCACAGTGGATTCCACTACCCGGGTAAGGCCGGCAGCCCCGAGCTAGCTTCTGTCCTCCTGGCTCCCCCTGCTGAGCCTGTGTGCTCTGACCCAGGCCCAGGGTGCCTCCCTCATGCCTCAGAATCATCTCCCCCCCCACCCCCCCCCCCCCCCCCCGGGGTGGGGTGGGGGGGACACAGAATCCTAAGGATCTGGCGTAACTTTCTTCCCTGCCACTTTCTGGCAGGGAAGTAGTAGAATTCAAGGACACCATCCTAATGATCGCACATTCCCCTTGGGAATTTTAAAAAGTTTGTTGGAGCTTTGAGCTTCTGCATCGAGAATTGCAGGAATGTTGAATGGTGATCTGCCTCCTATGAGTTGCAGAGGAAGGTCAAAGGGTGGGGGGAGTCACCAAAAATGCAGCCCCTTCTATTCCAGCTGTTAGTTGAATTCAGCCCAACTCGCCTTGAACCTCTTTTGTGTGTAAGGAGCTCAGTGAGATGGTGTGAGCCAGGCACATGCGGTTTGGAAGCTGGGCTGCAGGCATTTGTGGTTTAGTGTGGAGATGATGGCAAGAGACAGGAAGGAACTGGAAATATGATATTGGTGGGAGAGGACAGCCAGGAGCCCGAGAGGGCCAGGGTGCTTCCAGCTGGTGGGAAGGAGGAGGCTTCCTGGAAGAAGTGCATTTTGCTCCTTTCATCACAAGGCAGTTGTATTAAAAGGAAGGGACAGAGGGACGCCACCACCAGCCCCACCCCTTCCAGAGATCTCCTGGAGCACTAGGCAACATGAGGTCATCCTGAGAAAAAACTGGAACCGCCTCTTTGTCCCCACCTGCCTGCATCAACAAGAATCTGTTTTTAAAAAGCCAAGAATGTTTTGGATCCTTGGGGCTTCTCTTGTGTGCCCACTTTAGTCTTTTAGGTTCCTTCCCTGAGACCCCCTATTCTTTGGGTTAGAACTGCCTCAGGGATCCCCAGCCAGCCCACGACCTGAGGGTCTTGCCCACAGCATCTGTATTAAGATGATCTCTGCAGTCCGGCTCTGGCTCCCTGGGCACGTTTGGGAACAAAGAGTTCAGAGGGCCTTGGCTCAGAGGCGGCACCAAAATAATCGATGGGGGCAGGGGATGGAGCTCTATGGTAGAGCATGTGCTTGGCAGGCATGAGAACCTAGGTTCAATTCCCAGCACTAAAAACAAACAAAAAATATTCATCAGGACAGATTCCTTGAAAATAAGCTCCTTCTTAGACCAAACTCCCACTATTTCAAGAAATGAGCATTTCCTATAAATTCCATTACACGAAACTCAATGACTCCAAGCAGCCTTTGGGGATCTTACAGTGGGAGTTCACCTTTCTAATGAAATAAGTCTGCTCTCACTGGGGTCATCCAGGACTCCATGTGTCCATTTGTCCTGCTCTTCACACTCTTCTCAGCAGAGGGCCCCATTGCTGTTCCTGTCTTCTTCAAATGACTCCTCTTAGACTCTGGAGCACAGCTCTCTCCATTGTCCCTCCAGCCTCCCTTCCGACTTTCCCTCTGAATGTTGGTGCAGTCCTTAGGCCCCTCTCTGTTCTCCTTCCACTTCATCTTATATGCACTCATTTATCTCCAAAGCCATCAGCTCTCTCATAGGCTGAGGATGACTCCTAGCCCAGCCTTCATGGCAGGGTTCCGTGTCCACCCTCCTGTCACCTACTTGACATCTCTGCCTGGCCCACCTCCAAACATCTCAGACTTCACTTGTCTGACCATGAACCCTGCTCCTTCCCAGGCCAGTGGTATCTGGCTGGCAATAGCAGGACACCACGTAGCAGCTATTAACCTTCCAAAGGGTTCCCCATCCATTCTCTCTTTAAATCACCTGCTTTTTAAAAGAATTTGATTAAATGCACAGCTCATGGTGGCTTAAGGTCTGCCCAGAAGCCCTGAAGGTCACCTATGCTCAACTTCTTGCATTTCAGATGGGTTACACTCCACTGCACGTGGCCAGTCATTATGGAAATATCAAGCTGGTGAAGTTTCTGCTACAACACCAGGCAGATGTCAATGCCAAGACCAAGGTACAGGGCGCCTTAGACCCCACTCCTAAAAGGGCACTTCTTAAGTGCCCAGTTAGAATGGAGCCAGACCTACTCTGAGCACACTTGGGGTTCTGCCAGTTTTGGACTTGGATCCTGAAGGAGGAAATGGGGGAAAATGCTTTTTCTTTTTTTGTCACAAGTAAGAAGGTGAATGGATTCCATGGTATGTGGGTGGTTCTTTCTCTACTAGCTAGCTGATCCTGCCAAAATGTCTACCTCACTTTATAGCTAGGATACAGCCCCTTGCACCAGGCGGCCCAACAAGGACATACCGACATTGTGACTTTGCTACTGAAAAATGGCGCTTCCCCAAACGAGGTCAGCTCGGTGAGTACCCGCCCCGGCCTGATTTCAGAAAACTGTTCTTCCCTGGGCAGCAGCCCTGGGAGACATCCCAGAGCCATAGAGGTTGGTGTGCACATCTGGGGACCCAGACAGAGCTGCAGCACTTTGGGTATTCCGGGGGATAGGGTATTGTGATCAGTTTCTCTTCTGGTGACTGAACTTCATCCTTGTAAATAGCAGTTACTTCCCCCTTTTATGTTTGATTAAACATTTTTGTGGATGCCTCTTCTGAAGTAGGTGAGGCTCTATTTGGTCTTGTGGAGTGTCTGATCTTTCAGGGTCTTGGGTTATCCTTAGCAACTTCAGTGATCAGGGCTCAATATGAACTTATCATCTGACGGTGTGAGGTTTTATTAGATTCCCTCCATGGTTTCTCCCAACTCTGAAAGCATGTGGACCTTTGACTACAGATGTGGGTCCTGAAATTGTAACTGGAGATGGGGCCAAATCTGGATGGATCCTGGGCCATGTCCTGAAACTAGAAAACGTAGAAGAAAAATAGTCTCGATTGATTTTTCACTTAGCTCTTTCTCTTAAAATCAAAGTAGAAAATATAGTCCCTATCCTATTTCTGGTGACCTGTAATTTCTGATTGGCCTGCCTAGTTCACTGAAGTACAGGGATTGTTTTCATTGTGGTGATGCTGTTATTGACACCCAGAGAACAGACTTGAAGCAGTGAGTGTGACTCTGTACCCTCCTGTTTCAGAATCACACATGGTGACTTCTGACACCCTTCCCGCCAGAGGGTTCCCTCTTGGCAATCTTGCTGTCATTTCAAGTCCCCACACAGTGCTACAACGTGAGGCGTCAACGCCCTCCTCTCTCCCTGCCCTAGTCTGAGGGGCCATCCCGGCTCTCCCACTGGTGGAGCCATCTTGCTTTGGGCTCCAAGGCAGAGTCTGTCTACTCAAGCCCTTCTGAAGAGTCAGAGGTGAACTTAGACTCTGTACAGGTGGCAGAGTGTCCTTCCTCTCTTGCTCCCTTGTCTGATCTCACCCTCTTGCTGCCATTTTTTTTCTAGAATGGAACCACACCCCTGGCAATAGCCAAGCGTTTGGGCTACATTTCCGTAACAGACGTGCTCAAAGTTGTCACAGACGAAACCAGTGTAGCGGTATGTGTGCCCCTCCCGGCACTGCCCGTCCCCCCCACCCCCCCCCACCACAGCCTGACAGGCAGGGCGCCCTGTGGGTGACTCTCCAAAGCCTCCAGTAGGAAGCATCCTGCCAAAAGGGTAGCCCAGTAGGCTCCATCCTCAGTTGAGCAGGGCTCTACTGCCACCTAGTGGCCTGAGGAATTAGAACTGTGGCCAGACCTAAGGGAGTCACTGTGAGGTGAATCGGGCTTGGGAAGGGATGAGGTGGCAAGGTCCCCTGTTGTACTATCTGGGATGCCACCAGGCCTCAGCTTCCTAGGTCTGGTTTTCTTTTGGGGGAACAAACTTCCTTTATCACCTCCTCTTCTGTCCCCTCATGGTGACCAGGCTGGGCTGGTGAAAGGGTGGTGGTGCTCTGTTTGGGTTGAATTCTCGCCGCCTTCTCCTTTCAGCTAGTCAGTGACAAGCACCGCATGAGTTACCCTGAGACAGTGGATGAGATCCTGGATGTCTCTGAAGATGAAGGTAAAGTCATGGAGGGGTCGGTGAGCTCTGACCAAGGGGAGCAGAGGGGCGCTGAGCACCCTGAGTGGCTTCCTGCCCCGGCCAGGAGGCAAGGGTCCCCTGCAGCCACCCAGGGTTCTGCAGATGTGCATTGAAACTGAGGAGGCCCACTTTTTACAAATGTTGTCTCTTATCAAAACAACTGCTTTCCTAGAGTCTTAGGTGGAGGAAAATTGACATCTCAGAGATTAGCATTTAAATTTTTGTGAAGCTTCACAAGTACGCGTGTGTTTGCGTATGTGATGAATGTGTATCCAATCGAGTGTGATTCTACTCAGCTCAACTCTAGGGCTGTGAGGAGCTTTCCTGGTGCTTTGAACAAATAACAAGTGAGTTGTTTAAAATCCATGAGAATGCATTTTAGTAAGCTGCTCTTCTGATCACATAGTGGGTCAGGAGGGTTCAGGTTCTGTTCATTACTGTGAAGTTACTACATTTCAACTTTATGAACCACCCGGTGCTTTTACTATTATTCCTTCCCCAAATAAGTCTCCTATCCTTGCTGGAGGGTGAGAGAACCCTCATGAAGCACAATAGTGGGGTTGGACTGGGTTCACTCTGTAGACCCTCCCATCTATAATTCAGTGGTTGTACAAACCTTGTCAACTAGACAGCTGGATCTTTCCCTGTGTGCCCCTTAATAGCATGCCTCTTGCTTTACCTGACTTCAATGCTGTCCTTCCTTCACCTTGGCTCTTCTTTGCTTTTCAGGAACCGCTCACATATCTATAATGGGTATGAAACACTTTCTGTTCCCTGTGGTCTTTTCTCACCAGAGTGCATTTCACCCTCAGCAACCCAAGTTCCCACTAATCCATTCCTGCTTCCCATCCTCTGATGGCTCACAGTCCGAGCCCAGAGCTTGACTAAAACAGGACATTTACGCCCAGGAGTTCCATCCTCAAGGGGGCAACTCCTGCCTGTCCATCTCTGTGTCTGTGCCCATGCCACCATGTTTGTGGTCATCACTGCATGAGCGGTTGTGATTCCATCCCTGTCAGTTTCAGATCACAAGGCCAGGGCACCCAGTGCTAATGATAGTCAATGACATGCAAGGACAAGGACCCAGGCTCCAAGTCCACTTCAAGCAAGAGAAGGAAACAAAGAGGCAGTGTGGGGTGTGGGCAGCTAATTCACCAGTAGCTTGAACTTCTTTGTAATGAAGCTTTAGAAATAATGAAATTTTAGGGACCATGTTATAAACACACACACACACACACACACACACACACACACACACACACACCCCTACAGCCCTTCAAAATAAATGGTCTGATCTGCAGTGGGAAATGACAAGCTAAGGAAGTTCTTTCTGGCTGTGTTGTCTTTCCTACAAAGTCTGGCATAGACTGAGTTAGGAACTGACCACTGCACACTATACATCAGGGCTGGAAGGAATAAGACGGAGCAAAATCACAGCCAATAGGTCCCCTTGAAGCATCAGAGACTTCCCTGTGTCCCTCAGGAGCGAGCATTAAGAGGTGGACCAGGAGAAGCACTTTTTCAGGAGGTCTCCACCCTGTCACTCACTGGAGCTTGTGTTCTTTCAGGGGAAGAACTTGTTGGCTCCAAGGCTGAGAAGCCGGATTCCAGGGACTTGGATGAAGAGAAAGAGCTGTTGGATTTTGTGCCGAAGTTCGACCAAGTGTAAGAAAGGGCTCACTGGAGGGGTCACACCAGGCATGGTCAAGGTACAGCCCTGCAGCTCAGAGTAGGATTGCAAATCGAGGAGAAGTCAGAAGGACAGGCCCTGGGTGTGCTGCCAGTATAGATGGAAGGCTGGCAGGCCAGGCTGCGGCACCAGCACCTTGACCACCAAACACGTACTCAGAGGCCTCCCTCACAGTGCCCTGTCAGTTGGGTCTCTTCACTTCCAGCAGCCACACACCTTTCTTTCCCCCCCCCGCCCCCTCCCTGCACTCACAGCTTCACAATCACACCTCTTCTCCTTTTCATGCACACTCAGCTTCTCCTCGGAATAATCTTGGAGAAAGGTTCACGTTAGAAACTTGCCAAGCTGATATCAAACACTGACCTCATCTCTCCGTCGGTGATGTACCTTAGAGAAAGCCCACAGAGGTTCTGTATCTATCCGGAACCCATTTCTCAGCCCTCCCTCTGTTTGCTGTGACTTAGGCCACCACAGATCCATTTTTCCACAGAGATGTTTTGCAAATAAATCTACAATCAACCAGTTTTTAGAAACACCAGGGTGTTTCCCATGGCTTATACAAAACCAGACAGCAGGACAGTAGGAAGGGAAAGTGTAAAGAAGTTTAATCTGTTGGTGTTTACTAAATATCTGTTAGAAAAAAAAATACAGAACTTGGACCCTTATGTAGATTCATTTGGTGGGATCCAAACCCACACCAAGTACAATTTATGCCACAGTCTGGCTGTAGCAAAATAACCAGGGGATGATGAGCAACTTGTGTACATTGATACAGCAGGAGTGGGAACCCTTTATTCTAGGACAACAGAGGTATTTATACATTTTGCACAGCTTATCTTAATTAGCATAAACTAGATACATCAGTCAACCAATAAGGAATCTCCACACTTAATGGCTCGCTTTTGTTACTTCTCAAACCACTCCCTCTGGCATTTTGCCAGGCACCATCCAGACTTGTTTACGAACTCTAACATTCCCCTGGCAAAATGCCAGGTGTTATTTTGACTTGTTTACAGACCTTAACAAATTTAGATTGATGTATGAGTAAGGACAGAGTAAGGGTTCTGTTAGCAGGCAAGAGAGCTGCAGAAAGGGCAGATGAGTTGGGGCTGGAGGGTCCTTCTGAGAGATATGAAGGGCAGCTAGGCTCTGCAGAGTTACAAGGGAGGAGACAGCTTCAAGTCTGTTCAACCTGTGGAATCAATCTTATTGCACTTGCAAGGGTGTAACAAGGCTAAGGTGAGGGGGAGGGTTGCTAAGTCATTACAGAGGTACTGAGGTCTTTCATTTCAGTCTCTCGGGGGAGAGATAGGAGGTGACTTCAAAAGATCCGCCCTTTGATTTCCCAATGTTCCTGGTACACAGGGTGGAATCTCCAGCCATCCCGAGGATTCCTTGTGTCACACCTGAGACAGTGGTGATCAGATCTGAAGAGCCAGAACAGGTAAGAAGCACCATTTCTCTTGTATTCCCATTGGTAGAGTGAGGATATGACCCCCGGAAAAATGCTTATTTTGAGATGACCTGGAGGACAAAAGGAGCTAGCATGGAAACACTTGTTGTGCTTCCAGAGCACTTTCAGATCTGTGATTTTGTGTGCTCTGTGTAGCCCGTGTTCTTGGCATTCTCATCATCCCAGATGTGAACACCGCGGGGCTCAGGGAGCTCCAGGGTGTAGGAAACACCATCAGAATAGTCTCATGATGAGTCAGGGTGAGAACTGACACCAGCAGTTCTGGCTCTCAAGCCACATGCATGGCCGAACCTCTGGGCACATACTCTCTGCACCTTGGGGCAGCAGGCAGGGAAGGGAACCTGTGGCAGGTGGAGTGCAGCCTGCGCATCTCACAAAGCTCTGGGAGAGTCGCAGAACTCTGTGCTCCTCTCACATTCGCAAGAGGGGACAGCTTCCATCTCCCCTTCCTCCAAAGAATTCTGGGAGCTAGAGATACCAATACAGACAGAAAAGACATGCCAGAGAGCTGCTTTGGGTGTAGGGTCTTGTTCATGATGGTACCCTGTTTTATGAGTTCCGAGATTGCCACCTGAATTTATCCAAAAAAGCAGGGATGGGAGGTAGTTTAATTTTATGCCATTGGCACTGTTGTTGTTGTTGTTGTTGTTTTTTTTTTAAGGACGGGGGACTTCTTGGGGAGGAATGAAAATAGTGCACTGTTTCAGGTTGGATATCACTGTCCCAAGGCCTGATAGCTGAGTCAGTCATGGCTGTTAGACTCTAGCTAAAGTTGATTTCTTTCTCTGTTCCCTAAGTGGTGTCTGTCTCACAGCAGCAGCCATAGCCCTGGAGCAAACGTGGTGCATAGGGATAAGCCCGCCACGTGGCTGTTGAGCAGCAGGTTATACATCACAGTGATGCAACAGGAGTATAACTGGGTGGCATTTGAGAGAAATGGTCAAATATGGCCCCAGAACTGCAGTGGCATATTCCCTGGATGCTGCTAAAGATAGCAGTGAGAACCAACTGAGTAGACCTGGGTTCTGTTGTTTCCTGACCACTTCATTCCCTTAAAATCTGTGTGTGTGTGTGTGTGTGTGTGTGTGTGTGTGTGTGTGTGTGTGTGGTACTAAGGTCCAGACCCAGGGCCTACCACTGAGCCACACCCCCAGCATTTCTCTTCAACTCTGCTTGAGTCATCACTCATCAGGGGCAGTTTGCTGGATTCCCACTAAGTGCCCTGTCCAGGGCTCTACATACCCTGTAGAGGAGGACCATGAGCATCTGCCTCCTAGGAGTCGCTGTCCAGCTGGGAAGAGAGGACTTATACACGTGGGAGCAGGGAGCACAGAGTGCAGGAAGGGTGAACAGTGAAGTGCTTGATGGCGTCTGTGAGTGAGCCCTTCCAGAGTGGGGAAGGGGTCAACAGGACGGCTCCATAGAGGAGAAAAGGCAGAAAAATAGGTGATGGGAGCAGGGAAGGTCGGAGGTGAGGATGTTCTGCACCAGGGGGAGGATGAATAAGAGCAGAGTTGAGAATCCATCTAGAGGCCACTGAGGCCAGATGCAGACCCTGCCGTTCTCCGGAGTCATGGTGGTATTCAAGGACCTGTTACAAAGCAGCCAAATGGCCCCTTGGGTTGCAAGGAATGTCCCCCTCCCACAGAAGAAAACAACAGGAAGCCCCAAAGGCTTGGTGTGTTCACTCCCCGTACCTCAGGTGCCCACGAGGCAAGTAGGTAGGAGGGGATGGTGCAGGGGCCAGGGCCAACTCTAGAGGAAAAGCCAGTCTGCCTGGACAGAGCTTCTCCACGGGGGCACTGTGGGAGGGAACTGTGGGCAGGTGGGCAGTGCATGCAGCTGGCAGGGGACCTAGAACCAGACTGAAGAGCGAGGACTCATTCCATCTGTTCCCGCACTCTGCTCCGGGGTCTGGAGCCAAGCTAAGGCCAGCAAGAGGGGAGGAAGCCAATGCTTCCCTTTAGACCCCAGGAAGGCCTGGTCCCCAAAGAGTGAGTGGGTGAGCCTGTGAAAGCAGGTTCTCCATGGCGCCACTCCAAAGCTGTTGTGGCCTGGAGCAGTGTTCAGGTGGCTCAGGGGAGACAGGGGGCCCTTTTCTCCTCTTTAGGCATCTAAAGAATATGATGAAGACTCACTCATCCCCAGCAGCCCCGCCACAGAGACCTCAGACAACATCAGCCCAGTGGCCAGCCCCGTCCACACAGGGTGAGTGACACAGGACTCGGGGACCCACTCTGGCCATGGGGTGGGGGTGGGGACTAAGGTGCCCAACCTGGATCTGCCTGTGCCTCCAGGTTTCTGGTGAGCTTCATGGTCGATGCCCGGGGAGGCTCCATGAGAGGAAGTCGCCACAACGGCCTGAGGGTGGTGATCCCTCCGAGGACCTGTGCGGCACCCACACGTATCACCTGTCGCCTGGTCAAGCCCCAGAAGTTGAGCACGCCGCCCCCGCTGGGTGAGGAGGAGGGCCTGGCCAGCAGGATCATTGCGCTGGGGCCCACAGGGGCCCAGTTCCTGAGGTGAGACGCTGCTTTGCAGGACATGTGGGCAACACGTGTCCCTAACCTGTTCCCGTCCTGATCACCCCACTGCCACCACCTCAGCAGCAACCACCTAGAACAACCCTGCCACAGGGCAGAGCTGCGGGAACTCGGGACAGAGAAGCAGAAGCGGGAGCCTCGCCCCCCTGGCTCTGCTTTTGCTCAGGTACCCTAAGGAGTCCATAGCCCTGGTGGAGCTTCCTACTCTCAAATCCTACTGGGACACTAGAGAAAGGAATGGAGATGGGGCTACTTGGGGGACCTCCAGGATTTAGTTATGTATGCACGGAAATGGTAGCACTGGAAGGCAGCCCCTGCAGCATTGTCCCTCATAGGATGAATGGACTTCAGGTGCCTATTCCTCGTCTTCTCTGAAGCAGGGTCTGCTTGGAGCTTTCTTGTCCTTCAGACAACAACATCCAGGGTTGTAACGTTGGGAGAGGTTTGGCCTTCCCATCTCCATCCACCCTCCTGTCAATCATCATTTGCAAAGCTTTCTTATTGATTTTTCTCTTTAAATGTAAGCCTAAAATCCTACCTCAAGGAAATGTCGTTATGGCCACTTAATAGATGAGAATGCAAGGGCTCAGAGACCTGTCTAGGGATATCCCATGTTTTTTGTTTGTTTGTTTTGGGGATTTTGTTTGGTTTGTTTTGTTTTGTTGGTACCAGGGATGGAACTCAGGGGCACTGGACCACTGAGCCACATCCCCAGCCCTTTTTATATTTTATTTAGAGACAGGGTCTCACTGAGTTGCTTAGGGACTCACTGAGACTGGCTTTGAACTCACAGTCTCCTTAGCTGCTGGGATTGCTGGTGTGTGCCATAATGCCTGGCATTCACATAGTTTTCATAATCAGGTCTGAGGGTGAGATCATTTGGCTGAGCTTCAGCCATGCACACAGGCCAGGAGAGTTGCTGTCCCTGCATCTGTGCCTGCCCTACCTGTCACTCCAGACTCATGGGAGCCTCAAGGAGCCTGAGGCAGGTCTAGTCCACTCCAGAGAACTTCCCAGAGGGGCCTCCACTGTGGCTGCGGAACCCCTTTTTCCTTCTGGGCAGGAGTGAGCTGCCCCTCCCCCCGGGCCACCTGCACATGCAGGAAAGCAACTTGCCTGCCCTCTGCTCTGTCCCTGTCTCAGCCCTGTGATTGTGGAGATCCCCCACTTTGCCTCCCATGGTCGTGGGGACCGCGAGCTTGTGGTTCTGAGGAGTGAAAATGGCTCTCTGTGGAAGGAACACAAGAGCCGCTCTGCAGAAAGCTACCTGCAACAGATCCTCAATGGGATGGATGAAGGTAACAGAGCCCCGGGGATACCAGATCTCTCACCTTTGGGAGATAGAATTTGGGGCTGCACGTTTGGGGTGGGCTATCAGGGCTGCCTGGAGTTTGGGTAGTGACACGAGGCTAGGAATTGGCCCCACGCGGTCAAGCTCTGGGTCCCCAGGTCATATGAGTGGGTGCCCTGCTTGTAGCCACACCTCTTCTGCTGGGCCTCTGAGCCTGGACGCTTCTACCTCCAGGACACCTCTCTGCCTGTCATAGGGAGGGTGTACGCCCTGTGTCCTGGAGATAAGGAGGCTCAGGCCACGGGGTTAGTGGCTGATCTTGAGCTCAGTGTGACAACCTGGTGGCCCCGGGCTGTGTAATTCCAGAGCTGGGGAGCCTAGAGGAGCTGGAGAAGAAGAGGGTCTGCCGCATCATCACCACGGACTTCCCCTTGTACTTTGTGATCATGTCGCGGCTCTGCCAGGACTATGACACCATTGGCCCTGAAGGTGGCTCTCTGAAGAGCAAGCTGGTGCCCCTGGTGCAGGCAACGTTCCCAGCAAATGCTGTCACCAAGAAAGTGAAGCTGGCTCTGCAGGTGATACAGGCCCTCCTGGCCAGGTCCTGGAGGGTGGTGGAAGGAGTGCAAGGCCCTGGGAAAACGGGGCATCCCATGCTTTCAGCCAGTACCATTAGAATTAGGTTTTTGACTTAAAAGCTTAGAAAGTTGGGCGAGAGGGATGAGGCAGACGCAGCCTGTCAAGTCGCAGAAAGTCTCACATCACACGTTAAACTGCAAGGCCACCTATGCTCAGCAGGAGAAAGTTCCTGCAAAGATGTGCCATCCCTGGGAAGGAGAGGCAGAAGGAAAAAAGGTTCAGAAAGGAGAGCTAATCAGTGACATCAGAGCTGGGATAGACCCTGTGCTCAGCAAAATGAAGATGGTGGTCCAGCAGCAGGGGGCAACCTCTCTCACCAGGAGTCTTTGCCCTGTGCATAGAGGGCACCATGCCGTCTCCCGTCATGCCTGCCCTTCTTCTGCCTGGGGCTGAATATCTTGCCTTTGGCACTTCACAGGCCCAGCCTGTCCCAGATGAGCTAGTCACCAAGCTCCTGGGCAACCAGGCCACGTTCAGCCCCATTGTCACGGTGGAGCCGAGACGCCGCAAGTTCCATCGTCCCATTGGGCTTCGGATCCCACTCCCTCCTTCTTGGACTGACAACCCAAGGGACAGTGGGGAGGGAGACACCACCAGCCTGCGCCTGCTCTGTAGCGTCATTGGTGAGAGGTTCCCCTTGGCCCCTGTCTAGCAGCACTAGCTCCTTCTGTAACACACTGGAGGGCAGAGGGAGATGGGAGAATGCCAAGCCAGCAACCGTGGCGGTGGTTTTGTCGACTTCCCCTGGGGGTGGTGTGCTCTTCCAAGACTTGGGGGGATGAGGCATCTAAATTAAAGTCCATTGCCTGGTGGAAGAGCCCTCTGAGCCCTAGGAGAAGCGAGTACTGCAGGTCACAAGGAAAAGGGGCAGAGTGTGAGAAAATAGGTGTGCTCAGTGCTGCAGACCAAGCAAGTGTCACCCAGAAGTCCACCTTAGCACCATGGACCTTAGCACCATGTTCACATCCACAAGGGTGTCCCCAGCCCCACTTCTGCTGGTGTTGCAGGCGGAACTGACCGAGCCCAGTGGGAAGATATAACGGGAACAACCAAGCTTGTGTATGCCAACGAGTGTGCCAACTTTACCACCAATGTCTCTGCCAGGTGAGACGAGGCCCAGCCCAGCATCTCAGGCTTGATCTTGAGGCTCTTTCATTACCCCTCCACACAGAAGCACCCCCAACCGCCAGACGTGGCAGAGTCACCACTGTGTGGCTTGCAGGTTGTGCCTGACCAGATGGAGATGGAGCTTTGTTTCCCTCGGGCATTGAGGGACGTAGTCATGACTTGCCCTCTCTTTTAAGGTTTTGGCTGTCGGACTGTCCTCGGACTGCTGAGGCCGTGAACTTTGCCACTCTGTTATACAAAGAGCTTACCGCAGTGCCCTACATGGCCAAGTTTGTCATCTTTGCCAAAATGAATGACCCCCGGGAAGGGCGGCTGCGTTGCTACTGCATGACAGACGACAAAGTGGACAAGACCCTGGAGCAGCATGAGAACTTCGTGGAGGTGGCCCGGAGCAGGGACATAGAGGTATGTCAGGGTCCTCGAAGGCCTCTAACACTTCTCATAAGAAGATAAAGCTCTGGAGCCAGGGCAACTCTCAAATGGGTTCAAATGAGAATGGCAGGTGAGAGTATTATGTACACAGAAAGGATTATTATCATAGGTGAAATTAAAAATATAGCCAGGTTTTTCTGGCACTTCTCATGAGCTCAACACTTTTGGACAGGTAGAAAAACAGACCCAGGATTTTTTCAGAAACTATATTGTGATGTCCTAGTTCTGGAATGTTCTAGATCAACTGCCTAGGGGCATAAGAAAATTCCTACAGAGTGTAAAATCTTTTGGGGCAAGGAAGCATGACTCATTTATCATAACCTTATAAATAAAGCCTTTTCCAAAATGAACAGTGGTGTTTCTCAGAACACACTCCTGTGTGGCCTGCTATCCCCCTGTGTATGCACCTGACTTCGGGTGGGGTGGGAAAGACCAGAGCGTCAAGGCAGGACACCTGAGCGTTTCTACCTGACAAGCTGTATTTGCTTTTTCTTTTCTACAGGTTTTGGAAGGAATGCCCCTTTTCGCAGAACTTTCTGGAAACCTGGTACCTGTAAAGAAAGCTGCCCAACAGCGGAGCTTCCACTTCCAGTCATTTCGGGAGAACCGTTTGGCCATACCTGTAAAGGTGCTGGCCTCCTCTTGCTGGCCTCTCCTCTGGATCTAGAAAGCTGGGAGGTGAAAAATCTCTAAACCAGCCACCTGGTGGCCACCAAAGGGCCTGCTGAATCCTCTTTTATGTTTGAACTTAGGTGAGGGACAGCAGTCGAGAACCAGGAGGGTTCTTGTCATTTCTGCGCAAGGCGATGAAATACGAGGACACCCAGCACATCCTCTGCCACTTGAACATCACCATGCCCCCCTGCACCAAGGTGAGCCACTACCGGGGGAGGACCAAAGATGGGTTACCCTAAGGACGTTCCCGAACAGACCCCAGGATACACACCTCCTTCGGGCTTCTTCCTATTGAAACGCAGACTTTGAATTCCCTGAGGTACACCTGGGCCCTTCACTCTCCTCTGGACATTTGTTCTATGACCCGGCAGGGGAAGCAGGCCCTGGCTCCCTCTGCAAAGCTCAGTCCAGCTCTGGTCATGGGACGTGAGGAACCAATGTGTCAGATGGTGATAGGCTCATTCACTCTGTGAGCCCTGAGCCCTCTGGGATATGAAGGTCAAGTGTCCTCCTCATCTTCCCTTTCTGAGGCTTCTGAGGTTTTGAAGTGCATTTTGAATTCGCTGTTCAAGGTTACCCAGCCCCTGGACATCGGTTCTCCAGCCTCTTTTTCATTGACTCCCTTATCTTCCCCAGGGTGATAGGCCCTCACAGAAGGGGATCCTGGTGTGCTCAGCCACTGCAGACACCCAGGGCTTTGAGCTCAACAAAGTAGTCTTCAGCAAGTTATGTTCATTTGTCCATATCTGTCAGAGCGCCACGGTCGCCACCTGTGCCAGGGACTTGGGAGGGATCATGTCCTCAGAATGTCTTGTTCCTTGTTGGTGTTGTCTGGCTGTGGTTGTTTTGATCATTAGCCTTCCATGCTAAACTAGAATCAAGCAAGGTCCCATTCATATGTCCATGAATCGGATTCTCTTTTCTTTCGGGGGATGAGGGTGAACCAATACCTCTCTCCAGAGAGAATTCCTACATCTTTGAGCAAACCAGTTCTTATTGTTAAGCCTGAAGCCAGTGTCAGAAGCTGATCTGTTGAACCTAAAGGAATCCAAAAAGAAAAACTGAGTTTTAAGGTCAAACTTTGGTTCCATGGCCCATACACTGGGTGCCTTGGGAAAACTGCTTCACCTCTCTGTGCCTCAGTTTTCTCATCGATGAAATGGGGTTAGTAATAATACCTATCTCATAGGTGTTTGTGGCTCGTGTGAGCATTAAATACAGCCTTGTGCATGACAAGGGCTACATAAGTTTTCCATGATTCCTAATAAAGTATTCAAGTTTCATCAACTTCTTTTACTCCCACCTCTTCCGTCTACTCTGTTGAGCCTCTAACGGAATGGAGCTACTTACTTCTGCCAGGACCACAGCCTCAATGCTCAAGTCACCTCCTCTGAGAAGGGGGTATACCCAAAACCCAAAGCATCCTTTCTTTAACTTTCTTCTGCAGGGGAGCGGAGCAGAAGATAGGCGAAGGACCTTGACTCCCCTGTCCCTGAGATACAGCATTCTCAGTGAATCAACACCAGGTATCAACTTCTTTGTGATGATGTATTTTTGCTCCCCCTAACTATTTTTTTTTTTAAGTACTGGCAATTGAGTGGTGCTCTACCACTGAGTAACATCCCAGCCCAAATTTTTTTTTACTTTTTAAAATTTTGAGACAAGGTCTCGCTAAGATCCTCCTGCCTTGGCCTCCCAAGTAGCCAGGATTACAGGCACACACCATTGTGTCTGGCTGCTTGCTCCCTTTGAAAGGTTATAAGTGAGCTTGTGACGCCTCTACCCTCCATGCTGCTTCCTCAGCCTGTTCTGCCAACAGCATGCAGAGCCTTTGACTTGGGTCTCCACCTGACCTCTTATAGATTCAGCACGGGTGTATACGGAGGTTCACAGTGGGACCTGGGCATCCATCAGAGACCGTATACACATGCCTGTCAGTTCTGTGTCCTGCTCAGGCTGCTAAATAAAATCCAATGCATCTCTTTAGGTTTTCTCAGTGGGACAGACCGAGCAGATATGAAGATGGCTATTATATCAGAACACCTTGGCCTCAGCTGGGCAGGTGAGTTGGGGAATTGGGGGCAGAAGAGGCCTTTGTCTCACCCCTACATCCTTTTCTCTTTACTGAGCAATGGATAAAGCATTTTCAACCCTGGTCTTAATTACCCATTGTGCATCTGATTTGTGTATCTGGGTAGATCCCTTTGCCAAGCCATACCACTGAGTTCTAATGAAAAGCAGGGTGCTCTCTTCCTCCTCCCTTTCTGTCTGGTTTTCCTTTGAAAAAAAAGAAGCAACTCTTGACTTTACAAAAGATCTCACTATGGGGCTGGGATTGTAGCTAAACGGTAGAGCACTTGCCTAGCATGTGTGAGGCACTGGATTGGATCCTCAGCATCACATAAAGGTAAATAAATAAAAATAAAGGTATTGTGTCCATCTACAACTAAAAAGAAAAAAATTTTTTTTAAAATCTCCCACTGTATCTAGTTCACCTTACTTTATAGATGGGAAAACTGGGATCCAGTTCAATAGAGTTGTGTAATTAGCTAGTGACAGAACCCAGAAAAATCAAACAAACAAAAGAAATGCACAAACAAAATATCTCCCAAAGGCCTGTGCATGGCTTCCTCCACTCGATGCATGGCCTTTCCTTTGAGGCCAGCTCAGCTGAGGGAGGTTGGGGAGGCCAGTCTCAGCAGGTCTCATTGACAATTGGCCATAGCTGCAGCCTGCCAACAGCAGTGACAGATCTGATTTGAAGGGAAGCAGGTGGACAAAAGAAGTCAACCCACAAACTGTATTTTATACAGCCATAGGCCTACAATCTGAGTCTCCCTCCCCACCACTTTTTTAAAACTTTTATGTGAATGGACTCCTAGACTCCCTCCCTCACCTTACATGCCTACACAGTGCTTTAGACAAACCCAGAGGCCTCAGCAATTACTTGCTGAAGGGCAGTGTCATGGGAACTCAGAAGTTCAGGGACTGCTCATTCTTTAAGTCACACTCCTGCTGCTTTGAGCATGTGTGTATGTATGTGTGTCCATCTGTTCCCATGCATTTTCACATATATTATGTGTGACATGTGCTTGTGTGCAAGCATATGTATATTGCATTGTGTCCATGTGTGTATAAGTGTGTGCATTAATGAGTGCACATGTATGCATACGTGTGTGAGTGTGTTGTGTACATGTGTTCTGATTCTCATGACTCTTCCTATGATCTTCCTCATCTTTGAAATCAGACTCTGAGGCACTTTTCCCTCATAAATACTGTGAGTGATAACAGTAAAAATAATCAGAGGGTGGGGGAGCTACAATTCTACATCACTGCTATGCATTTAGATGAAAACTTCTATTTTCATTTTAAACATAAGTGATACCTTTTCCCAAAGACGTGTAAAAGGCAACTCCAGAGTTGCCTTTCTGCCACCATTGGATCCAGGAGGAAAGTGGGCAGCCTCCCAGTTTGGCCAGACAGTATTGCGGTAGGGCCAGCAGCCTCAGCCCCCTCTTGGTTCCAGGACTAACTTGTCTTGTGTGCACGGAGAAGCTGCTAACCTTGCCAAGAGGCTCATTCTCATCATCTCGTATCTGAAGTCCTGAAAGGCAGGGCATTGTTCATTTAGTTGCTTGATCATTCTTTCAACACCTGTTTCCAGAGCACCCCTCCCCTGCCCTGTTTTCTGGGCATACAAAGCTGTAGGTTCCTGCGTGTCAACCAGGTCCCTGGTGAGGAGAAACAACCAATCTAAAGGGAAAGTGCTCTGACTCCCTGTGCTCACATCTGCTCTTGGTGTTTTCTTGCAGAGTTGGCCCGAGAGCTGCAGTTCAGTGTGGAGGACATCAACAGGATCCGTGTAGAAAACCCTAACTCCTTGTTGGAGCAGAGCACAGCCTTGTTGAACCTCTGGATCGTCCGTGAAGGCGAAAACGCAAAAAGTCAGTATCCCAAGCTGAGGAGGCCTCGTTCCACAGACTTGCTAGGACCTACTTCTTGCCCAAGTAGCTCTTCCTTCCAATTCCACCCCTAATGCTGGTCCTTGTGATCTCTGTCTGCCTTTCTGTCTGTCTCTCTCTCACACACACACACACACTCACACACACACACACATACATACACACAGGTACACACACACTCACGCACCACTCACAGTAAAAGGTCTTCCAGGCAATCCTGCTAGAACACATTGCCAGTGAATCTTGGCCTCAGTCTTTCTCCTACCCTGATAAAAGAGAAAAATTTCCCCAGGACCCCTGATGACAGCATATATGTTGACTCATCTTCAGTCTTCCTGTTGCACTTCTCATCCAAATGAGTGTTGGCTTAGAGCAGAGTGTGGTTGGGCCAAATCCCAGAAGGAGCAGTTCTGTCCTCAGGCACATCTTTGTCCAACCTGGAGGGAAGATTTGACTCACTGTCTTTTCAGAGTATCCTCAACCAAATTCCTGTCCTCCACAACACTAAGAGAAATTTGAATGTTTCCATTTGCATCTCAAATCAACAGGCAAGGACTCAAAATTTCAAAAGGACAGAATCCAATCATTCTTACCCTCATTTTCTTGTTGTACTCCTCTTAGATTACAAAACACCAGTCTTTGGTTGCTTTGCTGAGGAGTTGAAGATGTAGTTCAGTGGCAGAACACCTGCCTAGCATTCATGAGGTGGTCCCTAGCCCTGCAAAAAAAAAAAAAAAAGGATGTGTTGGGCACTGCTAGTTTTTGGAAAAGATCTGTTGTAGCATAAAAAAAAAAGAAAAGAAACATTTTGGCTTGATTCTGACAAAAGAAGGGTCCCTCCACCTTCTGAAAAACAAAAAAAAATGATCATCTCCCTTCTCCCATCATCCTCCCGGCCCAGTTTTCAGGCCTTCAAAATAATCCCTGGCTGCTCTAGAATCATTAGAATTTGCTCCTCAGGCGCCTCTTCTCTTCTTTCTTCTGACAGTGGAGAATCTGTACACAGCTTTGCGGAACATTGACCGCAGTGAGATAGTGAACATGTTGGAGGGCTCAGGCAGACAGAGCCGCAATCTGAAGCCAGACCGCCGGCACGCGGACCGGGACTACTCATTGTCACCCTCCCAGATGAATGGTGAGTCTCCTCTGGTATGAGGCAGCTGCTGGCCTGGACCTTCCAGGCACCAGCTCTCAAGGCCCCTTCCCAGGACACTTTTCCCTCTAAACCATTTTTCCCCCCAGGGAGAACAGGGATAAGCGAGAGAGACAGGTGGCTTACACCTGTGCAGGTGGGCACACCCCCCCATGCCACCTGCCTCTGTAACCACATGTGGAGTGTCTCCCAGGCCTCACCACTAGCAGCGAGGTCCCAGCAAGGCTGGATGTGGTGGGAAAGAGCTTGAGTCTGGGAAGCACCTGGTTAGACCCTTGCTCCACAATCCATGAACTTTCTGTGTCACTCGTCACAAGGCCTGGGCTCTCTCTGGGATATTGGTGTCCCTATTTTAGAACGTTTTGTGGTTGGAAAGCAAAGGTTCTGGTTCGAGGTCCAGTGTGTATTAGCTGGATGTTGTTTAAGAAATCCCACTGTGGCCACGTGGGGAGGCGGAGTGGTTTCCTTTAGTCTGAGTCCTAGCTCTTTCCTTAACTCTTTCTTTTCTGTTTTCCTCATTCCGTCTGTCTCCCTTCACTCTTTTTGGTGTGGTTCGACATGGCAGGGAGCCCCAGTGAGATCTAGCCCAAGGAGAGGCAGCCCTGGAGGCCCAGCCTTTGCCCCAGGACCCCGCAGCTGCTTCTTTTTGAAGCAGCAGTGAAAACAGCCACCGGCACAGCTCGAAGGCACAGAGCCTGGGGGCTCCCATGCCCTCCCTTCACCTGCCCTCTGTAGCCAGTGGGCAACCAGTAGAAGAGCCACTTCAACCTCAGTCCTGTGTGCTGTTTCAGGAGGCCTGGGTTCTGTCCTGTCCTTCCTGCCAACTCCCTGTGTGGCCAAGCTGTCTCCTTGCCTTTAAAACCAGCTGGGTTAGATCCCTAAGATTCTTTACAGAACTTGAAAAAATTTTTAGCTCTAGGAAATATCTTCTTCCAGTATCAGACATGTCACCCTGTGCAGCTGTATGGCCGTGTTAATGCTCCCTAAGACCCTAGTCTTAAGTGCAAAAAAATGATCATGCTGGCAGTGATGGCCAGAGAGTCTGGGCTGAGCCGGACCCAGGGCCTTCTTCTGCCAGGCAGAGCCTGTGCATGCCAAGCCCTTCCCCATTCTGTCTCCATGTTTTGTGTCTGTGAAACATGCCATCTAGGGCCACCAGGTGTAGAGCTCATCTTCTATTGGTCGTGTCCTGACACCTTTCTCTTCTACCTCTGACCTCATCCTAACCTCTGGTTCACTCATTCTCTCGCACTTCCTGTCTCCACTGTCTCCACCTGGGCCAGGTGTATGAGAGCCGTCAACCTCCAGAGATGCATGTCACCAAGGACTCCCAGTGCCCACCCCCATGCGTCTCATGGCTGTCTCTCTGGACACACTGTGTGTGCGTGTGTGCATGGCGTGTTGTCTGTGATGCATCATAGTGGCTGCCAACTGTGTGTGCTCCACTCACTCTTCAGATGCTCCAAGACAATGGTCTACACCTACAGGGATTGCGGCTGGTCCCCACAGCAGTAGACTCAGCCAGAATATTGCAGGGCCTCCCAAGTAGGTCAGCTCTCTTCCACAAAGGGATAAATAGAGAGTAATTGAGAAATCTTGCAAATTTCAGAAAATCCAAGTGACAAGGTTCTGGTCCCTGAGTGGGCTTCTTAATATCCCTTGTGCTGTTTTACTTTAGTCGAGTCAAATCTGCAAGAGTTTGGTTTTTCTGTGCCCTAGTTAATTACTTATGGGACTAATGGAACATTAGAATTCCATGAGTCTGAATAAGGAAAGTCTCCATTGGCCACAAGACTCAGGCCAAGAGACCTCAGTGCCCAAGCAGCATTGTGTGGCCTGGGTCTCTGCACATCCTGTGTCTGGTGGAAGGAGCTCTATTGCAGTTATTCAGCCCATTTGGCTAATATTTTTCAAGCATCAACTACATGCCAGGCCTTGTTCCAGGCAGGGGAGATAAATCAATTCTTGAATAGACAAGTAAAAAAACCTCTACCTTCATGAAATCCACAGTCTTCCGTCGGGAGAATCAAGTGATGTCATAACATGAGGGAACTGTGTCATACAGAAGTATCAGAAGAGAAAGAGAAAGACAGAGGACAGGCCTGAGGCTGAGGGGCAACAGGGGGCCAGTCTTAGAGACTACCATCAGGACACTGGATTTTGTCCAGTGGGTTTGAAGCAAAAGAGTGACGTGATCTAACAACATTTTTAAAGGATTGCTTTTCCTGCTTTGTTGATTTTAAATGGTCACAAATCAAAAGCTTCTGTGCTTCTGGGCTCCCCTGAGTGCCTCACAGCCCCTCTGTCCCCACTGCTCCAGCAGGTGACAGGCCTGGGCTCTCTGCCCTGCATGGGCCCTCCCCTCAGCCCAAGCTCATAAACAGATGCCTGGCATGGTCCACTCCACCTTCCAGGCACAAGAATTGGCTTCTATGTGTTTTTCCTACCCTTGTCCCAGGAAGGCTCTTCCCACCTGGGTGCCCTTCTGGTCTGGAAAAGATGAAGCAAGAGGGATCAAAGGTCCAGGGTGCAGAAGCAGCAGCCTTCTGCATGGTCTCTGGCTCTCTCCCAGGCAGGACCATGTGACAGCTTGTTCTGGTACCAGCCCAGCTCTGTGTACTAATGGTCACTACCTTCACTTGGCACCTTATTTCTCTACTTGTCTGAGCCTCCTTCTGAAGCCATAGGAACTCAGGGCAGCAATGGGTTGCATGTATTCCTGTGAGTCTGAGAACATCAGGTGATTCAGGAAAGCAGGAAACCCACTGAGGAGAAGTCCCCTGGACTAGTGACCTGCCTACACCTGCATTGGCTGGAGCAAAGGGGAGGGTCAAAAGGCCAGTTAATTTCTTCTACAGAGGAGGGAACTACCCCAGGCCCATGGACTAGACAAAGGTAAAAATTACCTATTAAAAAAATAAATAACATGCTCCTGAAAATCAGATTTATATGAAAGGGGAAAAAATGGGGCAATTCACACCCATGTCAACTCCATTTGATTTGATGAATTGGACAACTATTAATGTCTACTTGAAAATTAAATAAGTTTTATGAATAACAACTCTCAACATGACTATTGAAGTGTGGCTCCTGTCTGAGGCCAGGTTGCCTGTCCACCCCTTTTGTTTGCTATTAACACTAAACTAACAAGATAATTATTACATCTAAGTTAGAGAGACCAGGGTAATGATTTGAGAGACGTCACCCGACCATACTCTGCCCTAAGCAATATGTATGGTGGCCTTTTACCTGGGGTCACCAACATTTAACCCCAAATGAGAAGCCTCTAGACTGAGAGATGGACTGGTGACCCAAGTGAGTTAGGGCTACAAGAGAATCCTAGGGAGACAGACATTTCTAAACCTCAGGACACTCATATGGTAGTCAGATCCACCCTGACCTTGTGAGGTGCTCCTCACAGGATGCATGGGGCCATACTGAACATCACTCCAACCTGATAGTCATGCCCACGAGCCTCAAATCTAAGTCTGTGTAGGTGGGTGGGGCCCTGTGGACACAGAGGGGGAGCCAGGCGTACACCTAAAGACTGGTCATGGGGGAGAGGAGCTCTGGGGTGCTGGCAAGCAGGGATTCCTGGCAGAGGCTGCATGTGCTCTCCTCACTCACATGTTTTCATTTGGTGAAATTCCATTTAAGTGAATGTCATAAAAGTTTCAAGGTGGAAAATTCACGAAAGGTACCCAAGAAGAGCCTCAGGTGTTCTGTGGCCAGCAAAGCTACATTCTCCTCCTTCTTCTTGAGTTTTTCCTGGGAGTGACAACATGCCATCTGGCAGTATCTGAGGTGCTGTTTACACTTCTTGCCAAGATGGAATAACAGGAACTGGGCGTACCCTCCTTCTTAAAGCCACAAAAACAAATGTAGGAAACCATCATTTTCAAGGCAATGGATAGCAGGCAGCCAAGGACAGAGACTCATGAGGCATAGGAAGTAAATAAGGTGAGTCCTCCAATTGCCTTGAAAGGGTTTCCAGGGAAACCCGGGAGACTCCCTGAGCTGAGACGCCCCTAAGATCAGGGAGACCACGGCAACAAGCACTCCCAAGACAGAGGCCTAGAGTGGTGTACTAGCTACACAGGTAGAAAACTCTGGAGATCTGCAGAAAGTCCCCCAAAAGTTTCATTTGTGTATTAAACAGCTGTTCTGTGCAAACTGATAATTCACAGACATTGGTAGGGAGCAAAGAAACACTGCCTCAGAAATGGGGAATAATTAACCATAGTTGAAAAAATTTCCACCTAATAAATTCTTTGGTGCTAGAGATAGAACCCAGGGCCTCCAGAGTGCTAGGCAAGTGCTCTACCTCTGAGCTGCATCCCTAGTCCCCATCTAATAAATCTTGAAAGAAAACACAAAAGGTTCAAACTGCTTCCAGTTAACTGCATAACAAAACAAAGCTCAAGAATATTTATATGACTAGAAAAAGATCCATCTCCCAAAAAGGTAAAATTCATAATGTCTGGCATCCAATTAAAGATTATCAGAAATATAAAGAGGCAGGAAAACAATCCGTAATGAGGAGAAAAAGCAATCAATTGAAACTGACCCAGAACTGATAGATGTTAAAATAAGCAGAGAAGGATGCTAAATATTTATTATAATGGAATTTCACAAAAACCCCAGGAGAGACACAGAAGATATTTTTAAAAGACACAAACTGTCCTTCTGGGGATAAAACTAGAATGTATGAAAGCTATGCTGGATAGGATTCAGCCCTAGACCTTGCAGAAGAAAAGATCAGTGAACTTCACAACATAGCAACAGAAACTCTCCAAAATGAAATACATAAAGAAAAGGAATTTTTAAAAATGCATCAGTGAGTTATGGGGCAATTTCAAGAGACCCAAGATATTAGAGTTCCCAACAGTGAAGAAAAGAGGAAGAGTATTTATTCATGGCTGAAATTTTTCCAAATTTGATGAAAATGATACATAGATTCAAGCAGTATAATGAAACCCATG